AGCCCATCTTGAACAGATCTATCTGCTGAACCCCAAGATTCATATATCTCTGTTCGAGTTCCAGATTCACCATGCCAGGAGTCACGGATACCCGTAAATCCGTGCTAATCACGGGGTGAGCTAATCGCGATCAGTACTCGTACCGGGGAGAGGGTACTATCGAATACCATCGCTGACGATATTCTACATGAAAAGATGCTCTCCCGGCGGCATTGGAAACTCCCTTGCACGTGAATTCCATCGCCATGGATTGCGCGTGCTCGCCACAGCCCGAGAAGCGACGACCATTGCCGACCTGGCTGAGCTCGGCATCGAGACCTTGAGTCTGGTGGTCGACGATGCGGAAAGTGTCAAGGCGTGCTTCGCAGATGTCGAGACTAGATTGGGGGATAAGGGACTGGATTATTTGGTGAACAATGCGTATGTCTTCTGATCCTGCACAAAGCTCGCATTCGTTCGTTGCACTATACTAATTAATATATCGCCAGTGGTCGGAGTACGTTATAACCAACTTGAAACCAGCACAACGCTTTGAAACTGGCATTTACTGACTGATCATAGACTACACCGTTCCAGCTATGGAAGTCGAGATCCCTGAGGCTCGCAAAACATTCGAGACCAATCTCTTCGCGGTGATCACCATGTGCCAGACCTTCCTACCCCTGCTCATCAAGGCCAAGGGCACAATTGTCCAAATTGGATCGGTTGCTGGAGTACGTCTCATTCTTCACGGAGTATCTTGTGTTCGATCAATCGGCTAACTGATCTAGATCATCCCATATGTCTTTGGGTCCGTCTACAACGCGTCCAAGGCAGCACTGCACTCGTTCAGTGATACTCTCCGAGTCGAACTGGCTCCTTTCGGGTATGTGATTCTCTTTTTACTCTGTCATGTTTAGATCCACTGCGCCAAACTAACCACCAGGAATAGTGTCAATGTCACTACAATCGTTACTGGCGGAGTGCAATCACGCATCGCCCGAACCCAGCGCACTCTCATGCCGGGATCTATGTACACCCCTATTGAAGATGAGTATAACCGACGCGTGACCCATAGCCAGGACAATGCGATGCCAAATGAGACCTACGCGTGCAGTGTGGTTGCGCAAGTGCTGTACGGGTCTGCCCCCTGGCGCTGGCTGTGGCCCTGGGCGCAGGGTCGCAAGACCTGGATCTGGGAGGGTCATCGCAGCTGGGTGATTTGGTTCCTCTCTGGCGGTTGGGCTTGGGGTGGTCTGTTTGGGCGGATTATGACGAAGATGTTTAAGCTGTGGAAGATCAAGCCTCGGGCCGGTAACTAGGGGTAGGAGACAGCAGTATGTAGCATATAATAATTCTTGGTCAAGAGGAATCCAGATTCCTCTAAATATGAAACCTGGCAGCTGTGAACAGCTACAGTATAACTATAACCATAGCCATCATCAATGCAATGCCATGCCATGCCATGCATGCAAGGCTGTATCTGTTATAAATGAATACCGATGCCAGTTCCGTGATATTCGCGTCTGCGCCCGAGGCAGTGGTTAGTCAGCCAGGAACGGACGCTGGTTGGCTGCAACACCCGGTTTTACCGCGACGCAATGTCATCCCGAGAAAAAGAAAGCTGTTCTCCCGATCCCGACTTCACTCTCTCCTCCAAGGGCTCCTGGATACACTGCCCTCTTGATTTCTTTCTCCCCCACCCACCCTCTCCCCTCACATCCTTTACATCATGTTCAAGCTTGCCCGCAGTCGTCCTGTCGCTGCGGCTTTCAGAGCCGCGACTGTGAGTTCCCAATGCTTCCCCCGATGCCGTACTATCGGCCCGTATCCGCTGCTTCACTTTGACTGACTCGGTTTGAATCGGATATAGCAGTCGTCCTCTCGTCTGGCTCAGCAGCAGCAGCGTAACCTCTCCATTCACGAGTACCTGTCCGCGCGCCTCCTCAAGCAGGTATGTTGCGTCGCGTTGGATTCTGCAGTCGCGCATCATGCAGAGTCTTTTTTTCTCCCAGATCAACACCGACTCGGATCGCTGATAATCAACAATAGTATGGAATTGGTGTCCCCAAGGGTGAGGTCGCTCGCTCCGCTGAGGAGGCCGAGGCTGTCGCTCGTTCCATCGGTATATCTTCCCTGCATTTATATTGCCCCCTTCTTTGCGCTCGGCACTAAACACAATTAGGTAACGACGACCTGGTTATCAAGGCCCAGGTTCTCGCCGGTGGTCGTGGTAAGGGTACCTTCGACAACGGCCTGAAGGGTGGTGTTCGCGTCATCTACTCGTGAGTGGGAAATTCACTCCCTGTTATGGGATGGAAACCGAATGGATTTATTAACCCCCGGCTTTTCTTTCTTAGTCCTACCGAGGCCAAGATGTTCGCCGGCCAGATGATCGGCCAGAACCTCGTCACCAAGCAGACCGGCGCCGCTGGCCGCCCTTGCAACTCCGTCCTGATCTGCGAGCGCAAGTTCGCCCGTCGCGAGTTCTACCTCGCCATCCTCATGGACCGTGCCACCCAGTCCCCCGTCGTCGTGGCCTCCTCCCAGGGTGGTATGGACATCGAGACCGTCGCCAAGGAGAACCCCGATGCCATCATCACCACCCCCATCGATATCCACAAGGGTGTTACCGACGACATCGCCCGCACCATCGCTACCGACCTCGGTTTCTCCGAGCAGTGCATCGAGGATGCCAAGACCACCATCCAGAACCTGTACAAGGTCTTCATGGAGCGTGATGCCACCCAAATCGAGATCAACCCCCTGTCCGAGACCTCCGACCACCAGGTCCTGGCCATGGACGCCAAGCTCGGCTTCGACGAGAACGCCGAGTTCCGCCAGAAGGAGGTCTTCTCGTGGCGCGATACCACCCAGGAGGATATGGATGAGGTCAAGGCTGCCGAGCACGGTCTGAACTTCATCAAGCTTGACGGTGACATTGGCTGCCTGGTCAACGGTGCTGGTCTCGCCATGGCCACCATGGACATCATCAAGCTGAACGGCGGTAGCCCCGCTAACTTCCTCGACGTCGGCGGTGGTGCTACCCCCGCTGCTATCAAGTCCGCTTTCGAGCTCATCACCAGCGACCCCAAGGTCTCTGCTGTCTTCGTCAACATCTTCGGTGGTATCGTCCGCTGCGACGCCATCGCCCAGGGTCTCATCAACGTTGTCCAGGACATGGGTCTGCGCACTCCCATCATTGCCCGTCTCCAGGGTACCAACATGGAGCAGGCTCACAAGCTGGTACGATAACCCCCCTTTCCTTCCATTTAGCATCCGTCCCGAGCAATAAGCTAACCCTTTCACCCACAGATCAACGAGTCCGGCCTGAAGATCTTCTCCATCGAGGACCTCCAGACCGCCGCCGAGAAGTCCGTCCAGTTCTCCAAGGTCGTCAAGATGGCCCGTGACATCGACGTCGGCGTTGAGTTCACCCTTGGAATCTAAGAAGTTTTCTTCTAATTCCTTTCGAATGAAGGGGCATGCATAGGGCCTGCGGCCTGTCACGCTCACAGAAAACCGCATTCTAGAGAACTGTGATGCCGTCGTGCCCGTTCCTGTGTCATTTAATTTTCTTTTGTCACTGTATTCTTGAGTGTTTCTATGGATGAATATCATTTCCTAATAGGAAGGGGATGCGAGCTATATTTTTTTCCTCGGTGTGTCGTAGGGTACTAGTAGTCTTTTGTAAATTGCGTAGATTTTATCTTACAGTATGTCCCAAAACTGGTATAACCGCCTACACTCTTAGTAATTATTTAGCCCTATTGTTAAGAAACACTAGACCATATTAAGAAAATAGTCAGGATAACAATATTCCTATAGCAGTCTCAATACTGCGATCTACTTTCATTAAAATACAGTGCCTCATCTCAATCTTATACAGATTTATAAGGATGAAGACCCAGGTTGCTTTGTTAAGCATAGCGTAAAAGTAGGTACTACTCAGCAGTTTGTTTACAACATTGGCCTTTAGGTGAAACGATACAAGAAGCGTCTTATAAAAAAACCATTCATTCAAACAAGATGTTTTATATACTGTCATCAGAGAACAGCCTACGCTGGCATACTGCATTTACCCCTTTACATAGGTTCAGAATAAACTGCAATTTCTTTCAGTGATCATACTGCCATAGTAAAACAGACAAGCTCGTTCTATTTACCTTTCCCAACATGCTCATATTGTCAGATATTGATTTGGCATAATGCATATCACAATTGTGAGTAGACTTTGCCCGCCATTTAATGAGGTCAATATTGTTTCAGGTTCAAGTCCCCACTGGATGTAAGACCTGCTGGGTGGGTAAGATCAGTATGAGAACAAGAAGTGCATGTAGTAAGGAGCCTCCAGCAGCCTCCATCAACCGACGTAAGCCTCTTTCACCAACTCCTTTATCGGCCATATAGACCTTAAGTATTGGCGCAAGATACTGAGGGTCGGTAATTGGAGGAATCTCCCCATCTCTCTCATCAGCCCACCCTCGTACCATTAAAGCAAGAGCCAAAGAGCATTCATAGAAGGATGGGAAGATGTTGATACCGGTGATTGAGGAAACAAGTTTGAAAATAGTTGTGAGATCGTAAGCTTGCCTTCCATGACTAGTCCAAAGTTTAGAAAGAGGTGTTGGTGCATGAATAAACAGTCTTTCGACTCGACATTGTTGGATTTCGACCCAGAATTTGATTTTGGAGTCGTTTAAGCGTAAGAATGCATTTTTTGCATCGGTCGGAACAATAGCATCTTCGATGTTACCACAGATAATTATAACTCGAAGATGAGAGCCAGCAATAAGCTCTTGGGAAGCCTTGCCCAAGATAATATACTCAGAGCAAGAGAAAGACTGGACTTGGAAGTTTTGAGGTATATCGGCGTACTGCTGAAGGTTGAATGACCAGACCAAGGAATTTGATGGTTGAAATCCACTTTCTCGCAGACCCCAGGGCATACTAATAACTTTGCCATCTTTATCCTCATAGTCATGCAGTATAGTATGGTCAAAGACAAGTCCGATTAAAGCTTACGGACTACCAATAGGACTGACGAGTGTATCTTCAGTTCTGAATGTTGGATTATCATATCGCAATTTGGTGACTGTAGACTGAAACCAAGCTTGAGTAGCAACCGCCGGCATGTGAACCTCCAAGGGGCCCCATATGGTATCTTCACTATCTTGGATTAAAAGATCCTCTTCCACATAGCGGACGGCTTTCAGAAGTGCATCACGGTATTCTTCATTGCGTATATAGTGCCGCATCGGTAAGTGCTGAGATCGAGGTGCTCGTCCTAGTGGGTGCTTTTGATTATTCCGAAGAACTGCAAACTCACAAATCTCAGGGTCCGGTGAGACTAGCAGAAGCTAAACTGTTTTATACCGAGAGTAAGGACTCAAAGACCGTCCTTCCCTGCCTTTAGCGAATCATTCTTTGCACGCACCCACCTGCGGGTCGCTCTTTCCTTCCTTTCCTCCCGTAAGGCACTTTATACTCTATAGTATACTATGGAGCCCCGTACACCTTCCTTTCTTCTTGCCTCCATTCACTATTACTCCCTATATGCTCGTATCTATGTGAATATGAATTTCTTCTCCGAGGGCAATGAAATCTTTGAGTAGAAATCAGTCTTGGCAGCTATGCAGCGCCGTACATTCCTAGAAATTTGGGTGTCTAGACATCCGTTTGTATTTAATCATTGTCCTTCTGCTCAGCACCTCTTCTTCCTCCTTCATGATATTTCTATTGGATATTAGCCCATCTCGATGTTGATCTTCGTATCTGAGCCCGTTACACCTATAAAATTTTAAGCATATCTATTCAATTATTTCCACTAAACCGTATATAAAGAGAAAGTCTCTGACCTGCTTGGCATGTTGTAGCTGCCCGTGGATGCTTTTGTTGCCCTTGCTGGTTGAAGTCGATACATGTTCCTCACTCCTTCCCTCCCTCCCTCTCTCCCTTCTCCCACCTCCCACAAAACCTGTCTTAATTACCATCCATCCTTTAGGTATCTCTGTATATTCTATCTCCATCACAGACTTATCACCAATCATGGAAGTCGATTTTCTTCTCCGCCCTTCCGGTGATCGAACCTCGTCATCGAAAACCGGAGCTGCCGCTCCAGAGACTGAAGCCTTCCCGCTCGATTTTGTTAGAAATCTGCCTCTTGAAATTCTCATTTTGGTCTTCCAGAATCTTCCCTTGGAAAAGTTCATATGCCTACAAATCGTTTCCAAAACATGGAAAGAGCGCCTGTCCTCCTATACCTTGCAATATGCAGTGATCCGGAACCTAGGACCGTGGGCTGTCGACGAAAACATCAAAGACACGGTTGCCTTTATCAAGAAAAGGAAAAGGATTGAAAACGGCCGCTTCGTCTCTCAGATTACTTTCCCGTTCGGTAACAAAGCATTGCTCAAAAACCCATGGAACAGAGCCGTTGACTATTCGGAGGGATATCTCGCATGGATTAGCTACCGATCTTTCGCCCTAGATGTCCTCAATCTCCGGACAGGAAAGCTTGATGAATTTACCACCAATGACCAAGAAGCCCCCTGTGATGTAAGGGTGTCAAACAGCATCTTGGTCGCGATTGCTTGGCGGTGCGTGATTTTCTATTAAACTGAAGGCACAATCAAGATATTTGCTAATTGAGCCTGGTTATCAAACAGAACTTGCCACGTGTGGAATCTTCACACTTATGAGCACAGCAGCTTCAAATTGCCTCACTCCTGCTATCTTCACGAAAGCCTAGTCCATGGAACAAAGCTAATTCTCATGGGCGCAAACTCCAGCCTCCATAGTAAAGGCTACATTGTTCATTGGAGCCATGAGTTGCAAGTTCTACGCACCATACCATGGGAAGATATGGAGACGATCAAAACTCTGATCTTGGACCCCAGCGTGGACAAGTTTACCATTCTCAGCCTTACTCGCATCCCTGATGCGGATAACGAAGATCTGGTAGATCCATTGATTGGGAGCCCGCCAGCTCTAGAAAACCTCCCAAATTATCACCCAAACACAGAGACACGAGTGGAAATTTTTGAGCTGGACAATGAAACTGGGGCCTTCAAATCCACATCACGCCAGACTCAGAGAATGCTCCTGAGAAATGGAGAGAAGGTGGACAGCTGCTGCATACAGCCTGGCCAACTCAGCATGGTTGACAAAATAAAGCACTGGGATAGTGAACATGATGTTGGCAAACGGAATTCAAACAGTGCCGAACATGAGGTCAATGAACGCTACATACCTGAACCCTCTCATTGTTTCGACCATAGATTCTGCTCTCTGGAAAAGGAACAGGGATTCGTCATCAATAGGGCCGTCACAGTGCAACGACCCAGATATCATGACGGGTTTGAATTTATTTCTCCAAGCCCTGGGGTTTTCTATTTTTCCCGATTTCAAAATGAAGGTTATGGAGCTGACGACGTGTCGATCATGCGTCCATACAGCCCAGACTTTAGCCCAGACCACCAACAGCTTTACGAGTCTATTGATCAACTTCCAGAGGGGAAAGGAGCTAGGGCGTTCGGAGACAGCGATTTTTTGGTCTTCGTCAAAGAGTTTGCGGTGTGTATTAGAAGCTTCAATGATAGTGCAGTCTGGGATCCCAGCGAAATACATTGACCAATGGAGTTAGAGGATTTAGGCCAACCCGAGTACTCATATGAAGCGGAAGACTCAGACGAAGCGGAGGATTCCAAAGTTTAGATTGATTAAATCCAGGTACTTGCCCCCGGGCAGGGAACGATTGATGGAAGTTGGATCTGTTTTGTCTAATTCCTCATGAATAACATGTCTGTCCAATGATACGGAAACATTTAATTGAAATATTAAAAATGGCAGGTCGAAAAGGACAGGCATCAACTCCACAGCAGCCTCCCATCTGATACCAGCTACTACTATTTGGCTTTACGCCGCCAGTGCGTCTGTCTGGTGTGGCACTCCATAGCCGCAATTAGCCTTGTGTTTCTGCCTGCCAGAGTAACTTGGTCCTAGCAATTAAGGGTATTGGAAATATTGCTCGAGTCAGAAAACCACCGGCATACCGTGCAGACACTCATGGGCGTGAAATCACGGCTTTCCACTGCGCAGAAGCCACATCTGTCTCTCGGGGTCATTCCGGACATAACTGGATAGAACATAAGGAAATTAATATACTAAATACTGACTATCCGCAGCACTACTGGATCAATTGCGGCTACGAAGAGCCGTACATGCCTAGCCATCTTGACATATTTAGTTCCTCTCCTTCCGCTTCGCGCCTCTCCTCCTTCTTCCCCATTTCGTTGGATCCTCATCATACGTGGCCTTTCTCGAGAAAGTAGCGCCTCCATGCTTTTATTCTCCCAGATCCTGATTCCGGTGCAGCGATATCCATCCTATCGCTATTGTTGCCATTTTCATTGCGAAATCCATGACTGGTGTGAGAAACCTCGGCGTGCGCGTTGTAATTGCCAGAGCCACTACCAGAGGTACTGCAGCTTTCAAGTTGCCACAGGCTGCGCGGAAAATCTATGTAGACAATGGGTAAATTGAGCTGTTGATTGAATTTGGATCTTTATACTAGAATCCAAATTCAATTTTAGCCCCTAGGTGGTCATCTTATTTGATCCGCACAACTATCAAAGTGCATGGCTGTAGCGTTATACGAAGGATACGTGATTCAGCTATAACTGACTATGCATAACTATCTATGTTAGAGCTAATATTTAGGCTAACTGATCCTAGTTCTGTCCACGTGTGGAACTTATATACCCGTGCCAGTGATCATAGCAGCTTTGTCTATACTCCTTTTGAGGGTGATACTCTGCTGGTTCACAGAACAAAAGTCCTCTTTTTGGGGTCATAGACCCCTTCGCATGCCTCATTCATTGGGGCCGCGAGTCCCAAATTGTACGATTTATACCCCATTACGATGTAAAATCAATCAGAGCATTGAAAATAGTGTAGAGAGACTCTACGCTAAGGACATGGAGCATATATTGAAGTGGCAGGGGCCCTATTTGTTAATCGTTCCGAGCGAATCAGCCACATCAACATTCAAATAAATTAAGCTCTTTGTTCGCAGGAGCATGTGCCAGCGTAGCTAATAGTTAACTAGCGGTCTGTTAGTTCTCTGCCGTGTAGTCGTGGTAATACATAGTAACTATAGTCCCCGGTGGAGCAATCTCACTCATCTCGACAACCTCTTTTTTTTCTATTCTCTTCTGCCATATCTGAATGGTTTCTAGTAAGGGCTTCCATGTCTTTCAAAATAAATAGTTCATTTTTGAAGAGCCACTAGGAGTTTTTGTAAAGTTGATCATGCACGCGCCATTCCATCAATTCTTTTTTGCTCAGGGAGCAAGTACTAGCTTTAGACCTCGTGGTCTGGTTCATTTGAAGTTAGACCCAATGACGCCTTCCACTGCTCTAAATATTCAGAATCCCACTCTTGCTCACTTGGAGCTAGATCCAATAACTCCTCTGACCAGTTTATCTGATCGGGATCCCAAATCTCCAGTTTATTGAAGCTCTGGACTTTCAGGTCGGAAGGGTTGACAGTTATGATAAAATCACCGTCTCCATAAATCTCAGTCCTGTGCTCCATCGGTACTTCGCAATATATTTCGTAATCACGAATTCGACCATTGCTTGGTTTGATAGAATGCGTAATCTGCATCCTGGACTTGTATGCGCGCGTCTCCCTCATAAGCCGGGCATCTATGACATAAAAGATTCCCGGACTTGGAGAAACAAAATTAAAGTTGTTCACAGCAAAATCTGAATAGACCATAGTATGAGTAACAACTTTCTTGTCTCCCTCAAGGGAGAAAAATCTCCGGCCATATTCTCGAGAACTTTCTTCATCGTTACGTCGCAGGGATAGTCTTTGAATCTGGTCGGAGGTAGATCGAAAAGCCGCATCCTCTTCCCCATTACCGAGTGTGAAAGTTTCGATGTGTACCTCTGCGTTTAAGGGAATTGCTATCTTCTGGTCAATATCCATATCCAGTAGGATTGGGATTGCTAGACCCGAATGTGTTAGACCCCCCAGGTACTCCCTCACAGTGGATTTGGGATCCGTGTCAGGGCAGCGGTCAAGATAGACGACAGTAAATTTGTCATCAATTGGATCTGGGATCACGGATCTGATAGCCCTTATGGACCGTGGAGCCTTCCATGGTATAGTGCGTACAATACGCGATTCGAAACTCCAGTGAATGAAGTAGCCTTGGTCATGCGGGCCGTCGTCCATGAGAAGCACCTTAGTTCCACAAACCAAGGTTCTCCCATCCCAAAGGGAGTGAGGCACATGAAAGCTTGTGTATTCATGTGTTTGGATATCCCATACATGGCACATTCTGTTCAATGAGTAGGATGGGTTAGCTTGCATGCTGGCTTTACCATATGCCTGGTTCGTTGTGGCTGGATCACATACCGTTGGCCAATCGCTACTATGATCTTGCTCGATATCTCGACATCGAAAAAGTGCCGCCGATCTTGTGTCGCAAATAGGCTGAATTCCCCGGTCCATAAGTTCACCACATTGACGCACCGATATGTGCAGTCAATCCATGCGAAATAACCTTCCGAATAGCTCGCCCCCATGCACCATCCGTTCCCTTTTGTTGCAGGTGTAAAGCTCATCTCCGATACAAATTTGGCTTCTTCAATTCGTACTCTTTTCCTGATAAAGGCAGTTGTATCTTGGACATCTGCGAGCCCCGGTCCCAGTGTCTGGATCACAGCGTGTTGTACGGCGCGGGAAGACAGAAGCCTTTTCCAGGCCTTTGAAACCTTTTGTAGATATAGCAAGTCCATGAAATCGAGGTTTTCAAAAATCAAAATCACAATTTCCAGGGGTAGTCTGCCCACAATGTCGCACTGGCGTGCTTCAGCTCCATGAGCCTCGATCTTTTGAATGTCGTGACAAGCGAGGTCACCGAAAGACTTGTCGAGCCTGTCTCCAGTTAGTAACCGCCAAATTAGTGAAAATAATCGATCATCATGTTCCATTCGGAGTGCTCTGGGTAAAGAGCCAATCATCGACTTACATGACATCTGTCGTTTGGGAGGACGAGGCTTCATCGCCGGCAGGGGGAGGTGGGGGATCCGAGATTGACTCCATGATGGTATCTCAGTGATTGAGAGGAAATTGAGGGGAGCGGAGGTAAATGGAGCGCTAGATGGGGTTAGAGAGAGGGAGGGAGAAGATGTGGGAACTTGAGGATGGGAAAATGGAGAGGAAGGAAGGAAAGAGGTGGCCCGTCTCAACTCAACCTCAACATCAACTGTGAAGGCAACAAAGGCAACAAAGGCAACAAACACACTTTTGAATTGTTTACGCCATCTCCTCAGCCTTCAATTTTCGCCTCCTGTACATTCATATACATTTTGGTCCTCCACCTTCCGTCTTCTTTCTTCTCATATCTCGCGAGTCGTCCATCTCAACCTTGGAAGTTACCATTCCTCTACGCTTGGGATCCTCAACATATGGACAGGAGAAACTAGCCGATTCTTCACAGAGGATCGAGAGCTTATTATGCTTCTGAAGGTGTCAAAGGCCATCGCAGTGGCAATGTGCCAATTTGTACGTGATTCAACTCAACTATTACTGACTATGCATAATCATGCATGGTACAGCCAACATACATGCTAACTGATCCCAGGATTTCCCACCCTGTGAACCTTGCAAGACACCAGTTCTCGATGCACTTCAAGTTCATTTGTGGGCGCCTCGCTCGCTTCATTTCATGATATGGATGGTGATCAGTTCGGCACTCGCACTCCACCTGAGGACTAAGACCTAGACTTCAGTCATCGAGGCATACTCTACGCCGAGATCAGCAAGTTTTTTTTTTCGGGATCTCCTCGCTAGCTCGGAGAAGGATGGAATCATCAAGAGACCAATGGTCAATATCGGGAACCATCAGAGGGCCTGGTTAAGAAAGGGCATGTTTTCAACGGCGAGCTGTCTACCGCCCAGCGACAGAATATCATCAAGTTCAGCTGTCGCTAACCACCGGACAACTCTGATACCATCCGGGTGGGCTGTTTAGAAGCTTAGGCAGATCGACTTGCCTGCAGAGATTATGGTTGTGTCTTGATCTCCCCTATTCTCAACCTGGTGGGAACAGGGCTACCACTATGCAGATGGTTACTTTGGGTGGATCGAGAGCACACGACAGCATCTTGATGTTCTTAACCTATGGACTAGAATTCAATTTCAATTTCAATTTCAGCCCCCAGCTGGCCAGGCTTTTCGATTTTTCTAAGCTCAAAGGCGATCGCAGTGGTGATGTGTCCTTGATGCATACTCCACACCGAGAGCAGCAAGTTCAAGCCGATCTACTCCATGCCGATTCTCAACTCCTTAATCATCAGAATCAAACTTTTCAATACTTAAAGCTGCTTCCAGATTCTACGAAGTTTGCTGGCACCTCTGTCAAGTTCGACATGGCACCAAATATACTCTACTTTATACTACTACTAGTATACTACTCTACTCTATGGCATATGCAGCCCCACATCTATATCCGAACTAGCCTCATCAAGCTTTAAACGAATTAATCTCCTTCAGCTAATATTAGCATTACTACTAGTAAGTAGTATGGCAGTCGATTGGCAATTAGTTCTCGTGTAGCTGTACTTAGGCATAGAGGCATATCGCCATACAGTAGTACTCCGAGTCCCCCAGTGGAGCAGGTCTCATTCCTCTCAACAACCCCCTTTTCCCTTTTCTCTTCTCTTCTTCTCCACCTTCCATCGTTCTTCCACGAACATCTCCCTTTTCTTTTTCTTTTTTTACCCTTTCCCCCTGCACCTTATACCTTCACCATATACTCAGTCTCCCCCCCCACTCTGTGCAACCTCATTCTCCCAGGGCTATCCCCGTCCAAACCCAACCTCTCTGAGCTCCTCTCCTCTTCTCTCCAGGGCTGCAGATCCGATCGTGCTTCCCGGCCCCTTCCCCGCAGCTTCAACCTTCAACCTCCTCTCTTTCTCCTTCTCTTTCTTCGGCCCCTCTTTTCGACCTTTAGTTTTGCTGGCGCAATGATCGGACTGGTGTCGATGCTTCCGTGTTGATCTACACTTCGGGCCTCCGCGATAATCTTCTTCCTTTTCCCACGTTCTCCCGCCCACGAGCGCCCCCCCTCCCAACGGTCGAACCCCGATCGCGACCGAACTCCTCTCATCCGATCGCTCTGAGGGAACGAAAGAAGCTTCGCATTGGCCATCGCAAGCTCCCCGACCTTCGTCCCTTGATCCTCCTCCCCGATCGCGCGTCATGAGCGGCCTCGCCGATCCTCCCTCCTCTCGGAACGCTTTCGCCGGGCCTGCAGATGCCCCCGGTAAGACTCGAAACCTCCCGGTTCTCCCCTCCTCAGCTCAACACCACGCCGCGATGGAGATCACTCCTTCTTCGCCTGCGACCGTCGGCGGCCCTGTTCACAGTAGCCCCGATGCCGACCGGACCGGCCCACCCAACACCAATGGCTCCGAAGCCGGTACACCGAGCAATCCTCCAAACCCGGCCGTTGGAGCTGCAGCTGCAGCTCAGCAGCCCAAGGTCGTGCAGACGGCCTTCATCCATAAGCTTTACAAGTACGTGATTGTTATCTCATCAAGTTCACACCGGTGGAAGAGCTACTAACATCCAACCTAGTATGCTGGAGGACTCTGGTATCCAACACTTAATATCCTGGTCAAGCAGTAATGACAGCTTCGTCATGTCCCCTACCTCGGAGTTTTCCAAAGTTCTTGCGTCAGTCTCCATGCCTCCCACAATCGCATTCGCCTTTCCAACGAGATGCGGGGTTGCTAACCTCCCGATAGCCAATATTTCAAGCACACCAACATTTCTTCCTTCGTGCGCCAGCTCAACATGTACGGGTTTCACAAAGGTGTGTCGCGATCTCTGAGCGGGCTAATCTGGAGCAATGGCTAACCTTAATCCACAGTGAGCGACGTGTTCCATACCGGTTCGCCAGACTCCGCACTGTGGGAATTTAAACACGGCAACGGCAACTTCAAACGAGGCGACCTGGTTGGCCTGCGGGAAATCAAGCGTCGCGCATCCCGACATGCGCTGATCCACCGCGATTCGTTTCCCAGCCACAAGGCCGCTGCCTCGCAACCAGGCACCCCAGCTGAACCCGTCCCGGATGCAGCTGAAGCGCGATTGATGAACCTCGAACACACGCTTTACGATATGCACAATCGCCTGATCCGAGCCGAGGAAGGCAATGTGGCCCTCACCTCCAGATGCCAAAACATGGCGGAGGGTCTCTCGAAATGCTACCAGGTATGCGCGTCATTTTTTCCTCTTTTCTTTTTCTCGCGGCATCGCTAATTGGCCATTTCAATAGTGGACGCATTCGATCTCGCGCTTTTTGTCAGCAGTTATACCTGACCGGGAGAGCCCTCTATATCGCGATAGTATGTTGCATCGCACTTCTCACTGAACCCCGCTAACGACTACACAGTATCCAACATGCAACGAGAGGTCGAGAAGCAGATTGAGGCAGTCTCCCAGGAACCTCTTCTGCCACCGCGCCAACCTTTCTTTGGCAATATAGCCCATGATGGCGTTCCACCTTTGTCCCCTCGCCAGATGCCCCAAGACGACGGTCGACGCCAATCCATGATGGACCCTTCTCGATCAAACATGATCCGACCCCCTGTACCTCCACACCTCGCCGTGTCACCCCGCCGCTACGGTTCCATCGGGGGTGCCAATGCTTCACCTAATTATAACCGCCCCCAGCCTCCAACGGTTGCTGTACAACAACCAACCCCTCACCCTTTATCAATCTCAACTCCCCCAGGACCGAACATGGCCCGCCGCCACACGTTCGCAGACATCCGACAGCACGACTGGCCTCCTACAGGCACCTCACCCTTCCCACCCGGCAACGCGGGTAATGGACCGTGGCCATCTTCTCCCCACAGACCACCAGCGTCGAGCGATCAGCAAGTCCGGGATGTACTAGCCCAATACGACATGAACGCCCCTCGACGTCTGCAAGCCGAATCGCGCCATGCGACACCCCCCCGCAAACGCCGAGCCTTCTCCATCGATGCTTAGTACCGATAATGGCTGGTCACTGGGCGGGTCTAGGTTCCCTCGCCAAGAATCATCCCTACCAGCAACGCGCCGATCCAGCATGGCCAGCAATGTCCATTCACTCCTCAACCCCGCCGATACCGCCGAAAGACCCGACGAGGATCAGCTGGAAGATCACCGAAAGCGCAAGCGATTGGAATGAATAACTTGATACATCTTGAGCAAAAATCTCAAAAAAAAAACAAAGTCTATATCTTGGAGATCACCCGCGCATCAAAGACGACCCTATGGGCCAGCCTTCTTACCGGCGCGCCGATTATCTCCCCACTATACACCATCTCGCGACTGCCTCGGACTCAACTTTGGCCCCAGCGTCCAGTCCAGGCCCAACAAAACCGAAAGAAACCGGCATAATGCCCATTCTTGGACAACAATCTGTACACTTGAAACAGCCAAGCCCCCCCCTCTCCCCCCTGGATTCCAACGCTCTTGGAAGAGAATCTTGGACTTGGACTTGGACCCCCGGAAGCCAGCCCGGGGTCCGTGGGCTATGACTATCTGTTTCTTTTGCGTTTGTAGATGTTTTCAAATCCCCCTCTTATTTCCACTTTTCCCCTCTTCCTCCTTCTTTTCTTTTCCCATGGAGATTCCAGACAAAAGCAATGCAGCGCGGCGCAGTGCAGCAGTCGGCGCAAGCAAGCGAGCAACGCAACGCGACGCGACGCGACTAAAACAAACCTCCGCGGCTCTGGGTTCATACCACCTTTTTTTCAAACATACCAAATTTTATATACCCCTGGGGTCGGGCGGATCGAATCGAAATCGAAATCGAAATCGAAATCGAAAACATCGTGTGGCATTTAGAAGAGATTGGATTTGAATTTTGTATTCTATCAGGCTTCTGCCCACTTAATTATTTCAATGAGACACTTTTGTGACTGCGTCTATCTCTATCAGTAACAGCCTACCTTAGGGTAGGGTTGGCGAGGCAGGGAGTAAGTAGCCGACCCCAATGAATCATAGGAGCTGCGATAGCCTTGCTGTCCAGCAGCAATTTCACAGGCCATAACAGAGAAAAATGCACGAGAGAACGAAAAGATGCATATCAAGCAGTAAAAAGAAGTTCCTCCCTCACCTCTTCTTCTTCTTATTAGCCCTCTGAGCCAAAATCTCATCCAAATAACTCGTCGCCTTCTTCCTCCTAGCAGACCCAGACGCAGATTTAGACTTCCCCGAACTCTGATTCGCACTCTGCGCATCCCCATCCGCACCCGCCGCACCATTCTCAGCCGATGTCGAAGTCGAGACTGACGATCCAGGCACTGTCCGAGAAGACGCATTCGAATTCGAATTCATCTTCCTCCTCTTCCCAACCATAGCAGCCCTCCCTTCCTCCTCATCATCGTCATCATCATCCGCGCCCGCAGCAGCCACAGCAGGCCCCGAGCCCGAAGTTGTACCTGTAGCCTGCGCCGCAGCAGCAGCAGCATTCTTCTCCCTCTGCGCTTTAACCTCCGCCTCCTTAGCCTTCATAACCTTATCATAATTCCGACCGAGAAGTTGTTTCCGAAGTATATCATTCGAACTCAATTCCTTCCGATTCCAACTTCCATCGGCTGCTTTTTCGGGGAGAGGGCGCCGATTCCGAGGCTGGAGTCATCACATAAATTAGCATTGGTCCTTACGTTGCGATATAGCAATTTTTAGAGCTAGGGAGGGAGGGAGGGGGGCTGGGCTCACGTCTCAGGTACAGCGGTAAATATCTCATCCTCTTCTCGCTGTAATTCTTCGTCCGTTTTTGCTGTTGAGGCTAGTTCGTCGTCTGTTTGGGCGGGGAGCCATGATGATACGAGTCTTTGGCTGCGGGATAGGGCGACGTTTGCTCGGTTGAGGATTATGTCTGATTCGGATTTTGATAGGGACATTTTATTGAGTAGGTAGGGCAAAGTTGTTTGCCTCCCTCTTGTTCCAAGATTTGGCGTTGGAAGTTAGGTCCGGAGTGGAATTTCCAAGGCGCGGCTTTTTTTTGCCGGGGGCGATAAGATTGTGAAGGCGGTAACGATGACTACATACACTCCGGCCTACCCATAGTACATATATGCTTAGGCTTAACCAATGGTATACTAGTTATTACTAGTTATACTTTATCAAAACTTCCAAATGAATAAATTAATTGTTGAGAATATTTGTACAGTTCGCGTTCTATAATACATATTATACTATACATACACTATTCGTCGATGGAATTTTCCAGAACTCCCGAGTCGACCAAGTTTAAGTTCGCATGTTCCAAATCCACATCTTCATCCTTGAAGTACGTATCATCCCACAAGGACAAAACATCTGACAAATGTTCGACGGGCTCTGCATTACGATCTCGATCGAGTAGTTCCATGACGGATTCGGCGAGGGTAATATAGAGCGTTTTTCGGTCTTGCATGTATGCGATTCTCTTGCGGTAGCTTCTGGGCAGTTCGACGCCACTGGCTAGGGTGTCATAAGCAGTAGTCAAGCACTGGAAGAGAAGAGAAAGGTTCATGTTAGTATTCACCAGCACCTGCACCAGCACCTGCACGGCTTAATCTCATTGAGTTGACTTGACTTACAAGATTGATGGCCTTTTGTAGCTCGATCAAGCTTCGGGCTGCTTCGTCGTTGTCGGCCATTGCTTTCTCCGTGTTGATGTCGAGGTTCAGCCATGAGTCCATGAGCATCTCCTTCTTGTCCCAGGTAAGTCTGCCACCAAACATAGTCGCCATCAATGGCGAGACGAGGGTATTCTCGATGATAAATGGGTCTGGCGAGGTAGTTTCCACCTTGGAACTGTATACCGTCAAGGACTTCGGCGGTGTCTTGAATGTACAACCTGCCATGACCACACTACGTGGGTGAATCATTGAGCGGGAATCGTAGTCTGTGGCAAATTTCCAGGATCGAGGGTTCATTTTTGGTGCTGCGATGCGCGGGAAGAGACAGTGCAGCAGCAGTGCTTTGATGAGTGGGGTGTGGTGCGAGTTGGTATTTAGTCTCGAGCCGCCGACTTGTGATTGATCATCATATCTGGAATGCTCTCTCGAGACAATATCTTCTCGTTGTAACTTGTCAAAGACATGTCTGGTTGTCCGAAGCACCATACTGTAAGAGTTGAATCGAATCATATGCTCCTTGGCATATTCCTTTGCTTTAGATATCCCGTGTTCATGATGTATCTTCCGAACAGCTCTGAAAGCATTGAGCGCACTGATATGATCGCTGGAACTTCCATCGGCGAATTCAATGCACGAGGCCTGGACCAAACTCCTGGTATTGGGTTCCGTATTGCGGATGAAGAGGGACGACTGGACTCCGATAGATGCCAGAATGAGCAATGAATCCAGACAACGGAAGATGATACCCAGCATGACCAGCTTGGCCAAATGGGGAGGCAGGGCTAGCTGGGAGATTAGGTGGCCTAGAGTTGTGATGTTCTCGTTCTCGTCCAGGGCCTGGAGCTGCTTCAGGGATTCCACGTTCGCAAGCACCTCATCGTTGTTGGGCGGTTCGATGGTTTTTTCAAGGAAACTCGAAATTGATTCTTTGCCGGCAAAATTCTTCGCACGCAAGCAGGTGTCTAGCAAGGAACCTCGGAGCATTTCGGGCGTCGGGGTGATGCGAAGAGTGTCAAATCGCTTTTTGGTTCCAATGTAGTAGTAGTCTCCAGCCTGGACTCTACCAACTCGCCCAGCTCGCTGTTGAGCATTGGACTGCGTGGCCCAGCAGTTGGCCAACCGACTGCAGTTGCGTTTTTGATCGACGAGCAATTGGTTCACTTTCCCGGAGTCAATTACGTACTTGATATCTGGGATCGTGACAGAAGCCTCGGCAATATCAGTCGACAGGATGATCCTTCGGCAGTCGCTTGGTACGTCGAGGTTCAGCTTTTCTTGCTCCTCTGGGAGTTGTGAGTGCAGAACCCCGACTCTGAAACGACTCTCATCCGACATGTCAAGGTTCAATTCAGTCCCATGTAACATGAGACGATGTTTGACCTCCTGGATATGACGCAGACCTGGAAGGAAGCACACGATCGATCCAGATGTTGTTGTGGACAGGATATGGAGAATCGTCGCGGTGTAGAGACCGGAGGGCATATGGATATCCTCTTCGGATGACACGAGGCGGGGAGATATGGAGGCACTGGTAGAGTCTGTCTCTACGGGTTCTTCCGGCTCGGTTTCTCCAAATAGAGCGTAGTGCTTATGCAAGAATTTCTCAGTCTCATCCTCTTGTAGAAGCTCCTTCAATTGGGAGGCGTGTGGAGAATGCCCTATATCAGAGAGTATTTCGTCAAGATAATGATGCTGCACGGGAAATTGGCGGCCCGGAATGGTGATGTGGGGAGCAAAAATGCGTGACCCTCCTGGCCCCTTGAGACTAAAGTAGTCAGAGAATAGTTTGGTGTCCACTGTTGCGCTCATCAGGGTAATCTTAGGGGCTTTCCGACCATTTCCTTGGCAATTTCGAACCAAATTCCTCAACAGGAGCATCACAAAGTCAATTCCGATGTCTCGTACGTGAACTTCATCAATGATGATGTGAGAGAAGGATCCAACATTGCGAACTGAGTCTTGCAAGATTTTCAAAAGAACTCCTGTGGTGCAGAACGTGATATGCGTGTTTTCGGATACCTGACGGGCGTGTCGAACAATGTAACCTACTGTCTCCCCAATGTTTTCATTTCTTTCTTGGGAAATCCTCTCCGCCAGACGGGAAGTGGCGAGGCGCCGAGGTTGGGTACAGAGGATATTGCAGTCGCCCCCGACATCCTGGTCAATTGCATCATCCAAGATCATCTGGGGGACCTGCGTAGATTTTCCAGAGCCGGTCTCGGCAACAATTATACTGAACGGGTTATTGTTGACAAGATCTAGGACTTGCTGTCTGAATTTCATGATTGGCAGGTCAGCCACTTTTGACCGGATATCAAGCAATTTTGGACTCTTCGACCCGCGCAGCTTTTCCAATGCCTTTTTGAGCCTTTTTGAATGGTATTTGCTGTGGTAGTAGGAACGAAAGCCCCGGGAGGTGTTGGACAAGTATCTTCCACCTTTATTTGGTCCAAGATCCGCTTTCGTCTTTTTCATGTCTTTCAAAGCCTTGAGTAAATCGTTTCGGAAGAGCCCCATCATGTCAAGTAGATCGTCATCCGCAGTCAACCTAACATAGCCTTGATCTGAAGGACTTTTTTTGGTGGCGGTGGATGCTTCTTCCGATCGAGCTTCCGCCTCTGTATTCGATTTATCCGTCGTGACGGCCTTTTCATGTGAGATGGCATTATCTGTCGATATAGCTTCCTTTTCCGGGTGAGACTCGTGCTTTGAAGCATTTTGAGAATTGGAATCTTCTTCCTCTGGATTGGAGTTGGCCATCGTGACAACCTTCCTCTCTGAGATGGTATTATCTGTCGATGTAGCTTCCTTTTCCTGGTGAGACTCCTCTGAAGCATTCTGAGAATTGATAACCTCTTCAAGTGCGTTATCCAGGCTCTCCCACAGGCCATTCCGATACAACTCCGCAATCAAAAAAAGGCGCGCGACTTGTCTGCATGGCAAGAAGAGTTGGGACATGGACTATTAAGAGAACGGTCAGGATGCAATCTTGGTAAATCGGAAATAACATACCCCTAGTTTGAATCTGGTCTTCATACTTGGTTGGCCCGGTATTCTGAGCTCCGCGGACCATACAGATCTCGTTTTGCTAAGTCGTTTTGGCCGATCGAGCCGTAAAATCCCGTTTTTATGCATATTCATCTCCCCAACACGATCAAACTTCTCCCCGCCCAGTTCGATTGGGTTTACAGCACCTTTGTCTATGAAAGGAAGCATGGTTTCCAATATTTGTCTAACCATGGGATCGGATTGTAGTTTCTCCCCAGATAGAACTAGATCGAGCTTCTGTGTAAAGCTCCATGAAAGCTTTTCTTGTTGCTTTGTGCTTTTTGTCCGCAGAAACGTTAGGAAATCATGGACCAGGGAATCAGGTGAGCGAAAACCTACTTTCATATTTGCAATCCCGGTAGCAGATATAGTGTTTCCTTCATTGAAAGAAAAGGAAATAGAACATTCCCAAGGAGATTTCTCTTCTTGCTGATTGTATGTTATTTCAAGCCGGTCCGGGAATTTTTCGGATATCAACATGGAGAAAATGAAGTATTCTCCTTTAATCAGGGTATCATCGCGCGATTCGGCATCGTCCCCCAGATAGGCCCCATCCTCCGGTAAAACGATCGATTTCTCGCCTGGGCTGATTGTTTCGTCTTTCTGCGCGGGCTCGTCGAATAAACTTGCGTCTGCAATGGGTTTCGCTTTGACCGGAGTAGAAAAGCCACGAATACCAGGACAGAGGTTCGAGATTTTCCCTATACGAATTTTCGACTGTATGGTATTTCCAACTGCGGCATTATTGTCTCGAATCGTCACGGCCGTCGACGGTCTGCGGGTCGTGTGCACGTCTCGTCGAAGACGGAGCAACGAAGCGATTGGGCTGGCATCGCGGGGGAGGGGTCGGAGAAATGAGCGACTTCCTGAGAGATTTGGTATTTTCTTGATACCCCGGATGTAGGCGTAGGCGTTTGCTCTTGTTGTCATTTTGTATGGCTGAGCCTCCGCGCGGGCTGGAAGTCAACATGCCCACCGGGCTCGAGATCGTTGGTGTTTAAGAAGGCATGTGTGCTTCCGGTGGGCCGAAGGTAAAGAGCGGCCTATGAAATATCGAGATCTTTTGCGCGCGAGATTCCCAGAGCTGCTTAGATGTGTAGGTGGTCTGGAGAAGCTCAAAAAAAAAAAGTCGAGACTCCCTGGCCGATTTGCGCGGCGGCCCGCAGGTCTTGGCATCATAAGTACCCTAGCCCAATGGCATTCGGGTATCGCGATTCGCGAATATAATTATTTGTAAATATTTATATTCAGTGAGAGTGAAATCGATGAAAATAATACCTAGGAACCTAGTATTTGATTCCCAAAGTATCCCAAAGAGGCGATATCTTTCCGATGCATCATAACCGCAGTACCACTAGTCCTAGTACTACCAACTAATATATAATCACATTGCCACTGCATACCTAGGTATACCTTCAACTTTGGAAGTTGTTACAGGACCTTTGAAATTTGATACCACCTGCCAGTGGAAATTCTGCTTACATAGTACATTCCTGCTCCCAGATATCTGCTTGGGAATTAGAACGACCTGCAATTCAGAATTTCAAAATAGCCTACATGTGTACCAGGATCGCAAAGCGGGAAGAAGCCTGGAAGAGATGTACTAGTCAAAAAATCATCAGGTCATAAACAGTTTCTACTATGTACAGTCTATCTATATACCATCTATGGCATGATTTCAACACGTCCTCCCCTTGATCCATCTCAAAGTATACAACGCAGGGTATAGAAGCCAAAACGAGTGAACCGAATAGAAAAAAATGCCAGTTAAGCCATTGCCTCCTTCTGATGTTTCACCTTCAACTTCTTCTCCGTCTTCATAAACTCGCGAATGCCCACAGGAATATCAGAGAACAAATCATCCCCTTGCTTCGGCGCGGGCCAATTCGTTTCGCTACCTCCACCATCATCATCCATACTCAGACTGGGCGGACTATCCGCAGACCCCGGAGCTGCACCGGTCAGGGGACTACTACCACCCTTCGCCTTCGCATTTGCGATAGTCGCAGCCCATTCTTCCATCTCATCGCGGAATCCGTCCCAGACGCAGTTGACACAGCCGCTCATGCAGCAGTTTTCGGGTTCTTCGGGGCGAGGCGGGATCGGGATACCGTTTATTTTCTTCCACTGTTCTACCGGTGGTGCTTCGCCGGGATTGTAACGTGATTCCCGACCCGGTCCCGCAAGACGTGTGCCAAAAACGATTGCCATTCTTTCTTGGGGTGTTTGTGCTTCGGCCATCGTTTTCGGGGCCGGTTTGTCCTCGGGCTCGGGCTGGGTTTCGGGCTGGGCCTCGGTTGAGCGCTCAACGGGTGCATTACCATGATAGGGAGACGGCGTGTTCAGGATCACAGAGTAATATCCAGAAAAAGGATAGGCCTGTTCTGATTTGGCAATTTTTGAAGAACCTTTGTTGTCTTGGTTCTCTTGAGCGACGGGTTTGGATTGGGTGTGGGCGCCCTTTCGCCGCGGGGTCGGAAGGAAGACATGCGACCGATTCGTAAGAGATAATGGTCGAGGACAATGTGATAGGTTGAAAGGAACGACTCTCGCCCTTCGGAGCGAGTGCCTGCCCACCGAAAGACACTCCATTGCTATATGCGAAAGAAAGCAAGTTCGAAGGGAAGCGAGAAATGACGATTAAGTCATAGTTGCAAACAGTGCAAACCGCGCCCCGTTGTTTACGCCCGCGGCGGGACTGGCATTGGGGATGCGCGCGGGTCCGAGAAACGTGCATACATCAACTTGCCAACAATGCTGTCGCCTCCAAAACGCCGGAAGACTGGTGACCGGTCAAGTATCGCTATCAGCGCGTCACAGTCCCGGGAAGCGCTCGAAGATAGGCGTTCTTCGCCCAGTCGGCCATCCTTCCAATCGCCTACCAAATCCAGTCTCGCCAAATCGCATCCCGATGTCCTCGAACGCGCACTTAGCAGATCTCCTGTACGGCGACCGGTGAGTCGGGGAGCTCAAGATGGACCGGGAAATGAGTCGGATATGAGGGGTTTTCGTCGCAAAGCTATGCGGCCGTCTTTGGGGCCCGGTAGCCCGTTGAAGGCGCCGCGAATGTCTATCGGCGGTACAACACTTCTCTCCTCGCCCAGCCGACGCGCAAGTGCCATTGAAGCCTTTGCAAAACCACCTCGCAGGATGTCCACGAAAAGAATAAATCCGTCAGACTTCACCTTCGGATCTCCAATGCCTACCCGGCCTGCAGAGGCAGATACCCCAGAAGGACAGCTCGCTCAAGAACTCGGCGGCAGTGCGACTAGGGAAGAAGACGATGCACCGATTCTCGAATCAGGCTTTGACGGCGCATTCGATGAAGACCCCCTCGAACCGGAACTCCCACCTACACCAACACAACTAGGCCTTGAGAAAGCACCCGATCGAACCCAGGGGACTACTGAGTAGTAGTCCTAGCATGAGGCATGAAAAGCGAATGAAACGACGAGCAACAGACGTTCTCTACGGAAGTCCTCTCAAATCAGCAAGGTTCCGAGACCCGAGCCCGGACGAGAGCGAAAGCCTTGATACTGCAATCCACATCGAGGAAGGAATGTCAGTCGCAGCCATAGAGAAACAAAAATCTCGCAGAAATCTCGCGGCAGAGTTACAACGGCTCAAGAAAGATGTAGCGGATTTAACGAAGTGGACTGGCGAAATCGAGTCTGGCACCGATAATCTGGAACAGGATGGAAGGGAACTGAACAAATTCCTCGCCATGCTCACGGAGGAATCTTCATACATCAATCGACCAATGGCTCACAAAGCCCCAACGCCAATATCATCACTTCTTTCAACGCTACTTCCATTTTCCACGAATATACCCCGTCCCAGTCGACAAGCTTCGCCCCTACCAACAAACCCATTCGCCTTGAAATCGTCTTCGCAGTCGAAATCATATCTTACAGTCTTTGCCCCGCTGGCACTTAACGCGCAGACAAGCCGCAATTCGGAAGCAAATTCGCTGCTAGAGACACATACGCTAAGATTCACGGCTCCATCTCCATTTCCACGCGCTTTATACAATGTGTCAGTCGTGTATGAAACGAATCCCGAAAATCAAACCATTACATCTGTCTCAGTACCAACTGGCAACGAAAGCAAAAAACGACAAGTACCCGAAACACTCCGCCGATGGATCGACAGTCGACTCGGCAATCCTCTTTTAAACCTGGACGTGGCAACACTGTGCTGGGGCATCAATCGATATTGGGAAGCATCTCTCGCACGTGCCCAGCTATGGGCCCATATTGAGAAAAAGTACGGCCGGGCCAGCTTAGCTCGCAATGGGAAGGATAAAGATGATGTTCCCGCCCTTCATGGCGGAGGAGTCATCAAACTTTCCGAACTACGACGATTAGTCCCTCACCTTGAACGAAACACTATGGTCATCAATCCGGCCTCATCAAATACAAAGCCACGAATCCTTCTATCGAACGTATTAGCTATGGACGATTGGACTGGTGAACCACAACTACGACCTGAACTGAGCGTGTCGGTTTCTCACGCAAGTGGTGAAGCGAGTAGGAAGATTGATGTGGAGACGAAGAAGTTGTTTCATGGTCTTTTGTCGGAGCATGGTGCTGGCACCGCGCAAGGGTTGGTTGGGGTTATGCGTGCAGATGTTATTTTGCGGGCAACTAATGGTGCTCTGGGTGTCGTTTTGGGGTCATAATTGATGGAACTTTTTTTTCTTGCTTTTTTTGGGGATTCAAATTCAAGCGTCGGCGCAGGTGGGCATGGAGTGTGGGGTTTTAGCCAGATACCATATAGAAATTACTGTTGAATGGATTCGTACTATATCATACATTTGTTGCAGATTGAGGAATGAAACATAAAATTGAACCAAGGCATGGATGTTAACAGCATCTTGAGAATGACGTATGCTTGGTTGTGGATGATGCGGAGCTTCAAGTTAAAGGTTGTGAAGGGTAGTTAACTAGTAGTTATGCTACTGGTTGTAGTCTGTCTATCTTTTCAAGTTATCCTTCAACGCTGGATGCTATACTATCTGGATTGGAAACACTGGAGTACATATAATGGACCCAATTCAATAAGTACTCTATTACTCTAGCGAGCATGTTGAAACGAATAGATTACGAAGACTACATTAATACGTTTTAGGGTTTGAATGTCAGAACTTCATTCAAGAGACTACTTCGTATAGCGTAGTGGCCATGACATGGAGTCCAGCCATTCCCTTCAGTTTATACAAATCCAAAATCCTCCCATCCCTAACACCGCCCCCCCAACAGGGACAGATCCATACAAAAGACCACAAAACTTTTAGTTTCTTGCTGCAGGTTGATGTGGCAACCGGGAGTACCGAAAACGAACGAATATAGAACACCAACACCATAAGCGAGAAAAGAAGAAGTTTTTGAGAAAAATTGGGCGGTTTTGCATTTCGAAGGATCTTCCGAGTTTCTTTTTTAGAGACAAAAAAAGGGAGGGGGTTTCATATGTAGGGGGGAGGGGGAGGAAAGAGGTTGGAAATTCAGTTTTGAAAAGGGAGAAAGGGTTTTGGGAAAAAAGAGACACCACGCCATGCCACAGTAACACTCTCTTCTCTTCCTCTCTCTCTCTTTTGTAGTCCTTGATCCGAAAAACCGACCCGATCATCATCATCAGCACGAGACAGAAAAAGAGATTAACACATTTATTTCTTGGCGTTGGCCTCCTCCTCAGCCTTGGCCTTGGCGCGAGCCTCACGCTTGCCGCGGTGGCGGGCCTCAGCGCGAGAGTCACGGAGACGGCGGTAAGCAGCCTCCTCACCCTTGGGGAGGGAGTCACGCTTGACCTCGGTGACGGCCTCCTCGAGGGAGGGGTTGGTGATGGGGAAGGTGGCACCGACGCGGGTGGCGAGACCCTCACGGTTGCCGTCGGCAAGGGCAGCCTTGACGGCCTTGACGTCCTCGGCGGAGGAGTCGAGCTTCTTGAACTGACCGCTCTTGCGGGGAAGAGGATCAGGCGGGCCTTGTAGTCCTTGAGGCGGGCAACGTTGGCGACCAGGGACTCCTTAGAGTAGTTGGTGCGGCGGTGGTCGACGGAGATACCGACGGTGGGGGCGAGCTTCTTGGGAATGCCAGCCTCCTATAAAGAGAAAAAAAGAAAACGCATAAGCCTATGTCTTCTTCGAAATCGGGGACGTTGAAATGGTGTCGAATTACCTTCAGCTCAGCCAGGGTGAAACCACGGCCGGCACGGACACGGCGGTTGTACTTGACGGTGGGGCATCGCACAACGGGACGCAGCTTGTCGACGGGCGGGGAGCAACCTGGGCAGCCTTGGCGAGACGGTTCTCACGACGACGGTGCTTACGGCCGGGCTAAAACGATCAAGAAGGTTAGTTTTTCCATTATGGTTCGAGACGGCGATTGTTCCCCGGACAAAATTTTTTCCCATTTCAGGACCGAGTTCGAGTTTTGACGATTCGTTCGGCGAGACTGAGTGTGTGGGGGAATGGTTTTTCGTTCAGGGAAGAGAGGGTTCCAATAGTCGTACCTGGTCGAAGTGCACGCGAACACGCTTCTGCCAATCCTTGCGGAAGTCTATTGAAAAATCATTAGCACATTGAATTTCCCTTTAACCAGGTCGCAAATTCCAACCAGACGCTCTGCTCTGCAGTAAAGCAGAGCGCAATGATAGGTATCGCCGCAGGGATCACTCACGGTTCTTCTGAATCTGGTTGTTGTGCTTGATCGCCTATATCACGAAGTTTCCATCAGTCTTCAATGTTCCCCGACAATATCACATCCACGAAAATTCCTCCAACGAGCGTATTGTGTCGTCCAATTCATCTTCGCAGTTCAGGATTCGAGGGGAACGCACCATGGTGACGGATGGGGATCGAGCCGGGTGTGGTCGTCGGAGGGTTGCTGGTCAAATCTCCCTTCAAGCGGCAGAAACTGAAGTGCCTATTTTTCGTGTGGCCGCCGGCAGCCACTCACCGCTTCGCTTAGCGAGCCCTAACTAGTCTCGATTAGGATATCTGCCAGTGGATGAGTAATCACTTCCGTTTATGGACTAGCGTGCGGAAATGCGGCTCCAACCAGGTACCGAAGTGTATAAAATGGACGGAAGGATCACTATAAAAGACATGAGGGCGATGTTTGTTAAATCATCAGATTGATTCTATTCCTAGTGTACAGCTTTGCAGGATGTATTCTAAGTAAACTCCATTCTAAAGCTCACATTGCCCAAAGGGCTCCTCGGCTGTACATTGCGGGCCTATCAAGCAAGCTGATAGTCAACATCCCCTGCAGTACGGGGCAACCTCCAAATCCAAATCCTGTGAGAATAGATATAAAAAAACAACCAGTTTTAAACGCCGATTCCAGGTAAAATGTAGCCATGGACTGTTACCAAGACCTTGCGAGTACAGATAACAATATCAAACAAAGAGAGAGAAAAGAGAAAAACAGAAAACAGTCGCTATTTCAAACAAATTCAAATGCCGTTAAACATTCATCAATCGTATCGGTTCCCATCTGGGAAAGCAAATCGTAACAAGTCTTAGCCAGAGGCGGAGTGAGAGAGCAGCGCTAGGTCATGAATCATATCCAGTCGAGTGGCACAAGCGTCGGGCTCGTGCAGGGAGTGGGGTAGTCTTAGGTTTCAATTCCGAGACCCGCTCCGCCATTCGTCCTGGATCTCTTCGCAGACCCAGCCTGGCTCGAAGTGGCCTTACGCTTGTTAGATTGGCCACGTTCCACGCCAGGTTTCTTGACCTGGCCAAACAGCTTGGTCTGCAGCAATGAACTGGTCTTTGGGGCGGTGGAGCGCATGTGGGAGTGTCGGGTAGCTATGCCCTCTTCTTCAGACTCGGGACCCGACAGAGAAACTGTGCTGTCGCTATCGTACTGCTGTTGTTCTTGCGATCCCTGGGCGGGGGTCATGTAGTGGCTACTCTGGCGAGCAGGGCGCGCTTGCTGCGGAGTCATGGGAGCTGACGAGGGAGCGCCATAAGAGTTGTGAGGTTCATGCAGACGGTTCGTGAATTTGTCTGCAAAGAGAAGGGCTGCCAGTCCGTCCGTGGCTTCTCCACGGCAGATGGTCTGCATCTCGCTCTGCATACCTGGGGAAAGACAACCGTAGTTGTAGATTTGGGAGAAGTGTCGGCGGTTGTCTTCAATGCGGCGCTTCAGCATCACATTCTGCTCGCCCAACTCCACTGATCTTGTGGTGGCATCATCGATAGCCCGCTTGGCATTCCGAAGACGGCGGTCCAGAAGAGTGTTGGCACTTTCCAGCTCCTGTGATCGCTGGAGAGCAGCAAGATACTCATCTGTGGAGACAGACTGGGATGGTCTGGGGGTGAGGGGATCCGCGGGGCGGGAGCGGTTGCGATATTCATCGCTCTGGAGGATCTCAACTTCACGCTTGGCAAGCTTCTGTTCCACCTCAGCACGCTCGATCGCCTTATTGCTGGCGAAGGAGGCCAGACTATTCTGTAGCTTGAAATGCAAAGCATTCATGCGGGCCTCTTGGGCTTTCGCGAGGAGTTCCTTGGCGATCGTACGCAGTTGAGCCTCATTGGCATTGTCAATATCTTCAGCGGATGGAAGGTTCTCAGATGCCCCATAGGCGTCGCACAAGGACTTCTCCAGGTCAACTGGAGTGATGAGAGATGGACTGATAGAGCGAGAATGAGAGCGGCGCAGAGGAGCACCGGGGATCTGGGTGGAAGGTGGCGGGGTCATGTCGGATGATGAAAGAGGTGGTGGAGACGTGAACTTCTTGTCTGAGTGGGAAGATCGGGCCTTGATGATCGGGGCACTAAGATCTGGCGATGGAGAAAGAGTGGCCCGTCTGGCTGGGGTTGCCGGGGCAAGAATCTCGGCGGGAGCAGCGAGGGGAGTTTGAGACATGGCCGATGAAGTGGTTGAGAGATAGAGTAGTCTACGGTGACTCAAGGAGCCAGCCGTGGGGATTTGGAGGGGAATCCTCGCACTGGAATGGGATGGTGGGTTAGTTTATCGCTATCGATAGAGAAAGTGGAGGAGCCATTGAAAGGCGGTCGGGCGCATACCGGAGAAGAGAAATGAGGGGGAGGGAGGTAGGATGGATTGCGTAACGAGTATAGAGTCAAGGGTGGTGTATTGGAAGGGGGTGTCAATGGGTAGAAGGGATATGGAAGGGGAAGAAAGAACATAAATGAGAGGGGGATGATGATATCGTGGAGGAGGGGGCTGGGAACGGCCGCAGTGCGAAATGCGGCTGGGGGGGGGAAGTTTGGGACCACACGGTGCCTTTCCCAACCATGTGACATTTTCAGCCAATCAAAAGCTCGGATCTGCCGCCTGATGGACCCACATTCCCCAATGCGGCTTGGTCTGCCGATCGACGCTTCCATTTTGGTGGTAAACAGGCTGCGAACGACGGGGTTGGGCTGGCAACCGATAACCTTGGAAGTTGGGGACTCAGCTGAACAATAGCAATGATGCCATCACAGTCCTTGCATTGTAAGTACTCTGCACTAGCACTCCGTACATACACGAATTATATATAGCTATCGCAATGGCTGAAAATTTCGAACATTCTTCGACTATGTCTAGAAGAATGCTGGTACCTGAACAGTTCCTGATTGACCTAGTATGATCTCGACCATGGACACTCTGAATGGAATGCTTCCTGGAATGGAATGCTACTTCAAGTTGACAGCCTCTGGAAGGAATGGCTCTGCAGAGACTACCTCTATGACTAATTGAGAGTGGTTGGATTAGTTAACTATTAGTAGCCCTAGAGTGTATAGCTGAAAATATACTTCCAGCGTCATGACGTTATATGTAAACACTCAAGCCAGCCTGAGTGGCATTGAGCAGGAATAAATAGATCACACACCTGGGCAAGATTCAATTGGATACCCCTAACCGAGTCGGAATGATTGTGGAAACATGAAAACCAGTCTCTTCAGGATCTTACCTATACACCTGGGCATTAAGTAGTCCATCTGGACCGTGTTAGCTTCCAAATAGTTCGCTACCTAAGCATGGTACCGTTGGATATATTTCATACACCCTAAAAACTACTTTCAGCATCATCAGACCAGCTTTTCCATGCCTATCCATGGATGTAGGTATCTGCAGCTAGCCAATTCGTATAGTGGACAGGCACAGCACAGATGCGCGGGTCCGCGTATCCGCGTATCACGGCCCAGCCATTTGAACCTACTACATAAGCCTGAGCTTACCAAACCATCGTATTCTTTGTTCTGCAATTATCCGAGTATAATGTCTTACTATCGGATTGTCGTAGACATCTGCAGGCTCCCTTGTCAATAGTCCCCCATGTCCGGCTGTTTATAGAGATGGTTGCTGCCTGAGGCGGCTATCGCGGAAATAAAAGTAAACAATGCTATCGTGCTAGTAGTCTCGATCTCCAATAATTTAGCTTCGATCAGTTCCCCATGTTGTATCCCCAGGGGTGAGAGAATCTCCGAATTGTCATGAAGGTGGGCCTGCCACTTTTTTCATCCGAACTCCTTTTGCTTTTCCCCCGCCTTTCACATTCTTGATTCTGCACGGACATCGTTCGGTTTTTCTGACGTGTGGCTCTGTACACCCTCCTGGCCCACGTCCTGATCAAAGCGAACCTCTGGTCTCCCAGAGAATATAGACGCCAACATGGAGAGCCAGCCCAAGATAGCTACTCGTCCACCGAGTGGAATTCCACGTCCAGTCTCGAGATTGCCCTTGCCAACCACCACCGCGTCGAAATCCATCCGCCCCTCACCGTCACGAGATCGCTTACAAGCCGATCCTGGTCTCGACCATAGCCGCCTACGACGTCCCTCATACGAGTCGCTCCTCAAATCACCATCTTCGCGTTATTCATCACCGTCGAAAACCCGTGAGCAGCTATCTCCTGTGCCGAGCGAGCCCGTCAGCGGATTGGATGGAAGCGACAAGCTAGAAGACGCGAGTGTGGTGGGGGATGAAGAAGCTCAAGAGGCTCGCGGTCGTGTTCGACAGATTGGGCCCTCGCTATCAGACCGAACAATTGATACGATATCTGCTATTCCACCATCACCGGCATCCGCGAAACGACAGTCTAGCTTCTTCAATGGAGCTAGCCCGATCCGCTCCCCTTCCAAAACACCATCGAATGTCTCCAATTACTCCCGATCACCGTCGCGGTCATCTTCTGGCCAGACAGAAGGAAATGAGTTCCTATCCCAACCGGTATCCAAGCTTCGCTTGCCATCTCGAAACCGTCTGTCGGTCGCATCGTCAACACCCCTGTCACCAAACAAAGTCTCGGATGCTGCTGAAAGTCTGTCAAGAATGAAAATGCCATCATCGAGACACAGCATTGCGTTGGGAAGTGGTACCACAGAGCCGAGAACGCCTCTCAAAAAGGCATCACAGGATACACTCAACCATAAATCAATTGGCAGGCCATCATTCGCACGACCATCCCCAGGAAAAACAGCCCCGAAATCCGTCAAGACTGAAATGGGACCACCCGAACGTCCACTTAACGTTCGGAAGACCAGGAAGCCCCAGATAGAGTCCCCATCAACAATGAGATCGCCATCAACTGCTTCTCGATACGTGTCCGCGGCATCCAACATAGCAGATGAACTTACACCTGAGCAACAGGAGGAACACGAATCCAGGAAGGCTACGAAGTCATCGAGCGCCTTACGTGACACCATTGCCAAGGCCAAGGCAGCTCGAAAGGCAGCAGCAAAGAACGATACAACTGATGAGAAGCCCGCACCACAAGTCAAGCCCGCGGATTCATGGGGTACCATTGACGAAGACCCTTTCGATCAGTTACCCAAGGGCTCCAATCCTGGCGTCATACGAAAACGCGTGGAAGGTGCTCGTACTTCGGGCACTTTGAATATCGCCGCCCTTTCATTAACGGAGATTCCCAAAGAGGTCATCGATATGTACGAATTTGACCCCGATGCTACGAATTGGTTCGAGAATGTAGACCTGGTCAAATTCATCGCAGCAGACAATGAACTCGCCGAAATCTCCGATGCTACATTCCCAGACGTGGATCCCGAGAATATTGATCCAGAGCGGGACGAACGAGCTCCTCAATTTGGCGGATTGGAGACTTTGGATCTTCATGGAAATGTACTGCGCAGCCTTCCAATGGGTATCAGGCAGTTGCGGCAATTGCGCTCTCTCAACCTCTCCAATAACTCTTTTGATATGGAGAACATCCAAGTTGTTATAGAGATACCGACTTTGGTGGATTTGAAACTTGCAAATAACAAGCTGGAAGGATCCTTGACGGGAGACATCAGTCGCCTTCAACAATTAGAAGCGCTTGACCTCCGCGGCAACGCTCTCACATCATTGCCGAAAGAGCTTGCTCATTTGACAAACCTCAAGTTGTTGGATGTTGGCGAAAATAACTTGGCATCGTTACCTTTTGCCGCACTGAGCAAGGTCCCTTTGCGAACCCTCAATGCACCAAAAAACACATTGCAAGGAACTCTCATTCCGGAATCTGTCGATCGTCTTGAGAACCTGCAGATACTGAATGTTGCCGGCAACTCGATTGAAGTATTTGCCGCCAATGACAACCTGGCGTTGCCAGAACTGCAGAGTTTGTTCATCGGTATAAATCGCATTAAATACTTACCTCGTGTATCTGCCTGGCAGAATTTGACGGTTCTTTCAGCTGAGGATAATAGCATTGCGGAGCTTCCAGATGGACTGGTGGGACTGAAGTCACTTAAGAATGTCGATCTTACTGGGAACAATATCACTCGACTAGATGAGAAGATTGGTCTTTTGGAAGGCTTGACATCTTTCCGAATTGCCAACAATCCACTTCGCGAGCGCAAGCTACTAAGCATGTCTTCGGATGAAATTCTTCAGGATATGCGCAATCGTTGTGAGCCCGATCCTCTAGATACGGATGATGAGGGCTCCGTGGCGACGCAGTTTACGCTTGCCCCGGAGACGCCGGCGCTGGAGAGTGGATGGCAGGTTAGAGCCGGTGGTCTTCTGGACAGATCGTATTCTGAGATGACCGAGTTGGAGACGTGGAAACTGGAAATGATCGATACGCAAGAGGTTCGCCGTCTTGAATTGCAACACAATGAACTATCTCGCTTCCCTGCTTCGGCACTGGAGATGCTTGCGGAGAATCTGACCGAGCTTGACCTTTCTCACAATCCTCTGGAAAGTGCCGAGCTTCTGTCTTCGCCACTTGAGCTCCCCAAACTCCAGACACTGAACCTCAGCGCCGCTGGGCTAACATCCATTGAATCTCTCCTGGCGAATCTGAAGGCTCCAGCACTTAATGTCCTCGATGTCTCCAACAATCGACTGACAGGACCCTTGCCGCGTATCCGCGAGACCTTCCCAGAACTCAAGTCGTTCCTTGTCTCCGATAATCGGATCGTCAGTCTCGAGTTCGAGGCTGTCCAAGGCCTCCAGGTTCTGGACGTTAGTAACAACGACATTGAATCCTTGCCGCCGAAGATCGGCCTTCTGGCCGCGGAGCGTTCCCCTCGTAACTGGGGGTCTGGCTCAGCATTGAGGCGGTTTGAAGTTGCTGGTAATCGCTTCCGGGTTCCTCGGTGGCAGATTGTTGCCAAGGGGACTGATGCTGTGTTGCAATTTTTGAAAGAGCATATTCCTGTTCAAGATATGCCTGAATGGGAAGAGGATGGTGTCAATGCTGACGAATTCTAGCAGAAAGCCGGGGATGGAAGACACTATAACCTGCCAAAGGCAATGTCGCAGGCCGCCCCTTGTATAATATTTATCTTCTTTAACCTGTACATAAACAAATATGGACTTTATTATGCTTTTCAAATTCCAATGTTGTTTTTCGGAGACTCCTTTGCATCGACTGGGTATCAACTAAGTACAATTTCGACTTCAAGCTCCTCTCAGACGCTGTGGTGACCAACTTCAACTCACTCAGCTTCAGCCTCGATGGACTTGCCAACTTCCTCCAAAACCTTAAGCCACGTCCTCGACCAGACAGTGAATTTATCTTCAGCCTTATCCGCATCCGCAGCCTCACCCCAAGGAAGTTCCAGCGAAGTAACAGCAACGGTAGCATTCGCACGAATCTTTTTCAAGAAATCCACCGCCCGATCCTCATCATCCTCATACAAAGCCCCAGCAGCCTCATCAACCAGATCAGGAATCCGACCAAGGTAAAGCATCAAAAGCTCCAGCTTCTCAACACCACCCTTCGTAGCCAGCGGCGTTTCCCCCGCATTCTTCAACCGGTAATTAATAACAGCCGGATAAACCTGAGCGACAGGCTTAAGGAAGCGCAAAGTAGACTTCTTGCGCTCCAGGAGCGCAGCAGTATTTCCATCTTCATCGGAATCACTTCCATCATCTTTATCTTCATCCGAGCCCTCATCATCACTCTTCTTCTTCTCATCACCCATCAAATCATCAAAGAAATCATCCTCATCCTCCTCAGGATCCCACTCCTCAATTTCCATCACAGCATCCCGAATCAAATCCCTCCACTGCTCAACCCGATGCACGACAAACCCCACAACACCCTTGCTAGCAACACCCGTCACACTATCACAAGCTTCCCAAACCCGACCCGCCGCAACGGTAACAGTATCCTTCTCCGCCTTGGACATATCCTCCTTGCCCTTTGTGCCCTTGGGGTCATTTTTGCCTTTCTCACTCTTCTCCGCAATACCCTTAACAAGTCCAATCAGCGCCGCGAATTCCGCCAACGCCGTGCGCGAAAGAACGAGGATCTCAGAGTGGAACGCTTTCGTGTACTCGGCCGGCGTGATCAGTAGAGCAGCTGTTATAAGTGAAGGTAGGACGGAGTCATTCACGGCTCGGAGGACGGTGCTGACGGCTGACGGTGTGAAGGGTGTGGTTATGGACAGTAGGGAGAGTTTTGTTACTTGGGCGCGGAGGGCGGAGGATGATGCTGATAGGAGGGCTAGGGGCTTTGCATCGTTTGAAGAAGGGGACGACTCGGTTTGAGTCTGTGTCTCTGCGGCGCGGGATGGAGTGAGTGTTTCTTGGAATTGGTCGAGGAGGGCGAGGGTTGAGGAGAGGAGGGTTGCGATTTGAGTTGCCATTTTTGATGTGGGATTCTGGCGAGGCAAGGCAGCGGGGGACGAGCTGCGGCTGTTTGAGGGGGTTGAGTGAGGCGTTGTGAAAGTTGGATGTTGGAGGGGCAGTTGAGGAAATTTGGCATATGGATTCTTTTTTTTTTTGCGCGGGGCTCTGCGGGGCGGGGGGTTTAAGCTGTGACAACGCGATAGGAATGGGATAATAGATTGAGTATTTGGATTCCTTGTAAATACAGGAATATATATTTATATAATGAGTATTGAATAATAATTACTCCTTCCATTGAGACCGTGAAGTACATGATTAACAATTATTGTAGTTAGTTAGTACTAGTTCATAACGCAGCCTGAGGCAGAAAGGAACCGAGTCAAACACAGCAAACATTCCGACACCGCGTTGAAGCTGCCCTGGTGGACTCGGAGCTGCTCGCCTTTCCTCCGACTCTCCAAATTTCTTTCTTAATTTCAATTTCAATTCAAGCCCGAAACCCCGTGAGATAATGGGAACATCAAAAGCCCGCGCCGCAGCAAAACCTGCCAAAAAGGCGGCCCCCGAAGTCCCATCTCGACGTATCCCCCAGAAAACCTTCATCATCGACAATGGCGCCTATACAATGAAAGCGGGCTATGCGTCGTCCGATGCGACCACCACCGAAGAAGCCCTATCCGCCTGCACCACGATTCCAAACTGCCTCGTCAAGACACGCGATAATCGCATCGTGGTCGGTCCGCAGATCTCCAGTACTGTCAACGACTGGAATGAGGCCATGTTTCGCCGGCCGGTGGAGAAGGGATATCTCGTGAATTGGGAAGCGGAGAGGGAGATCTGGGAACAGTCTTTTTTCGAGGAGAAGGCTACGGCACGGAATAAGGGGATTCGAATCCCGACGCCGGAAGATACGACTCTCGTGCTTACGGAGGCGCCGAATACTATGCCGGTTTTGCAACGGAATACGGACGAAATGGTGATGGAGGAATGGGGGTTTGGGGGTTATGTGAGATGTTTGGGTAAGAGATGCGCGAAGCCCTGGGAGTTGGTTGATGAAGATGAAGCCCGAGGGTCAATACTGATGTTATGCTATTGTTTTAGGTCCGACGCTCAACGCATGGAATGAGGTTCATTCGTTATTTGGAGACCCGCTTCGAAAGCCCGAGACGGATATCTTGCCTGCGGATTGCCTTCTTGTTGTAGACTCTGGATATTCGCATACGACTGTGACACCCGTATATAGAGGACTCCCCATCCAGCGCGCGATACGCCGGCTTGACATTGGCGGCAAACACCTGACAAACTACCTGAAGGAGATTGTGTCCATGAGGCAGTACAACATGGTGGATGAGAGCTATATCATGAATGAGGTAAAAGAGTCCGTGTGCTTCGTGACCAATGATTTCACGACAGACATGGAGAAAACTTGGAAGGCGAACCTCAAGCGCCAAGCAGCCTCGGACGATAGTATTGTGGTAGACTTTGTGCTTCCTGACCCCAACGCGAACAAGAAGGGTTTCATGCGACCCCACGATCCTTTGTTGGAGGCGAAAAAGAAGAAAGGCGCGCTGTCCGGGTTGAGTTCTGAGATTCTTTCCGAAGATGTCTTAGTTCTGGGCAATGAGCGCTTTGCTGTCCCAGAGCTTTTGTTTCGCCCGAGTGACATCGGCATGAAGCAGGCAGGAGTTCCCGAAATGATTCTGCAGAGTCTGTCTGTTCTTCCCGCTGGACTGCATGCTGCCCTTTTGGCAAATGTTCTTGTTGTGGGTGGTAATGCTGGTATACCAGGCTTCATGGAGCGGCTGTATGTTGTATTTTACCTCGATCTATTGGTGCTCAAATTAATGACCTCTTTTTTAGTGAAGCGGAGCTGCGTCAAATTACATCATCTGAATGTGTTGTGAGAGTGCGCCGGGCTGAAGAGTAAGTACTGCTGCTTCGCTTTGAATGTTTCCTAGCGGCATCTAATACTAACTGGCGAATAGTCCTATCTGCTCTACATGGCTAGGAGGGTCCCGCCTTGCTAACAACCGAGAAGAGCTGAGCAAGGTTGCAATTTCCCGATCAGAGTATCAGGAGTATGGATCTGGATGGGCTGGCCGAAGGTTCGCTGGGAACATTTGAACAATTCCCGTAGCGAAATCTGCAAAAATTGGTCATTTTTCGGAGTTTGGGGTCCTTGTCTACTTGAAGGCAATTTGAAATGCATCTACGATACCCTTTGTTTTAGTTTTATTAGTGTTTAAATGCATGAGATCGCCTTGACTGGTACATGGTTATATCGAAGTTGGCACAAATTCTAGTAGGTGGTTTAAAACCATACTCCGTGATTTATTGATACTATAGCTATTTCTCGCTTACTGGGAAGCATATTGACTATTTGGATAGGTAATACCCTGGTGCCGTAGCTAATCATGCACAGTATCTTCATAATCTGACTCAGGAACCCGTTCGAATAGTTGGCTAACCTCGGAAGAAGCTGTGCGCGGAAACTTCATTACCACTTTTTGCAGTAGCTGTCCTCGTACGTCTCGTACTTCAGGCCAGGGTTTCTCACGTAATGGGAGATGCTGTTGAAGGACAATTCGCCGTCGGCATGCTTCATCCATGCGTTGATTCCGATGTGCGCTGCGATTTGGTCTTTCAATCCAAGAAGCCAGTACTGGCAAAGCGAGACGTGTTGGCTCGGGAAAGTCTCAGCCTGGAGCTTCTGACCCTGCTCGATATAGTTCCAGAGTGGCATTTCTGCTTGCTTCAGGTTGGTGATTTTCTCCATGGTAATCGCTCGTTCGGTTTCGGACTTCCATAGGAACCTTTCCTTGAGCTTGGTCGACGCTTGAACAAAGTCGTCCTGGACAGCTGCGGGGAGACTGTCTCAGGAATGCTCTGGCTTCTTCAGAAGTTCCTTGATACAATGTCACTGCGCGGACATTATTGAGCTGGGCCTCTGTATAGCCATAGAGGGGCGGAATGCAGTGGCATGCTTTGATGTATTGGTCGACATTCTCGCCCAGTTTGCCAGAGAATCGGGGATTGAAGTGTCCCGCATCGTGTTCATGGTGGCTCAAACCAGTGGTAAGGAGGGTTCAGGATGGATGGGATTGATGGGAGTAGTGGGCGAAGTGCTGTCAGAGCTTCCGCGGTTTGTTGCTTGATTGTTTAGGGTTGGGAATTGGTAGCACTGACTGAGGTCGAATGTGCAAGGAGATGGATGAATGGAAAAGAACAAGTGGGTGAGATGAAGAGAGAAGAGAGAAGAGGGAAGAGGGGAAAGGAAAGAGAGAAGAGGGAGGGAAGAAGGAGCGAGACTATTCAGACAAGGAAGGAACGACACAGCGACATCGTTGCCTGAGGCGAGGCCGGTGCCTACAGCATCACGTCTCAACATAATGCTATCATGGAGCATTAATGAGATGAAAATAGTGGACGCCTAGTTGAGATATCAAAGAATTAGATGCTAAGGTAAGTGTGAACTGACAAAGTCAGCGCCTGAGGTCTCTGTTTTCAGAAGGTAGTGATGTTCCAAGGTTGTAGATCATGGGAAGTCAACTACTTTCCAAGGTGAATCCATTACTTCGAGAAGGTCAAATGAAGTGATGCAATACTGAGTCGTTCTTAGTATCAAAGTCCATCTGGACCTGACCCATCCCCGGCAGCTCCTAAATAAAACCATGGCCAGATGCTAACATTAACCTTGTTTAGCGGTATACTCACAACGAAAATCTGGAAATGTTGATAGGGTTACCGCGTTACGCATTCCTTTGAAACAAGCAAAACTATGGCAAAGCTAGTATCAAATAGGCTGCTTTTCTGTCATTGTGTGTATTACCTTCACATCCTACGGCTGCGATTGCCCACCGCAGGAGTCAAGAACTTGAATTGTTAAACCGACGCCGGTATGTACCCTCCGGAGGATGCCGCTTGATTGATATTTAGCGATTGGCTTCTCCCTCAATCTCGCCTTTCCTTGACAACAATTGTGTCTATCACTAACGCATAGATGGCAGAGCCCCCAGCAACAGTGCCTTCGCCTACTCGTCGATTTCCAGGTAGAATTTCGAAATCACTCAAGGGCTTATCACGTCTCTTTCAATGCCAGGATAATTCTATCCCACCGCAGGCCAATGCTACATGTTTCTTCTACTTGAATGAGAGGTCGACCGAAACTGAGACCGAGCTGGCCGATCCACTCACAGATGACCAGATCAGCGAGCAGACGACGATGTCTTTGAACCCTTGCCGGGAAGCCTCAGGGCAGCCGCCGGATATCAAAAAGGTTGGAATTGGAATGAAATTGAAGTCCATCTTGAAAATATTCTTCACGAACAAAGAGTTAGTTATTCCACGAAGCTGATTATAAAGTCAATGTTGTTGACCGGTAGCCAGCAAATGCGTCGGCTGCTACGAAGACATCCGGTCCAACAAGCTGATAATCGCGCCATGCGAGCACCGATATTGTCATCGCTGTATCCGAAAAATGGCGCTCTTCGCACTACGGAATAGAACACAGTTCCCAGTCCGGTGCTGCAACGAAATAATCCCCCTGGAACTTATCACATCGGCACTAAGCACTCGAACGAAACGGCTTTATACTTCTCGCATCGACGAGGATGCAGTACCACCGACAGAACGCCTATATTGCCCCCACACCAGCTGCAGACAATGGATTCACAGCAAATATCTGAAACCCGGCGACACATATCAGAGATGTCCTCGTTGCCGCACTATGATCTGTTCCCGGTGTCGAGATCTAGCGCATGCAGATCGCGAGTGTGCCGAAGACCCTGGATTGGCAGATGTACTGCTAGTTGCACGGCGTAATCACTGGCAACGATGTTTTAGTTGCCATGCTATGGTTGAAAAAGTGGGTGGATGCCAACACATTAGGTGTCGATGTGGGGCAGAGTTTTGGTAAGTTCGCCGTGGATTGAACACGGACTGTACTTGCTCACACTTGCTGCCTAGCTATGCATGTGGGAGATCGTGGCCTGGATGTCGTTGCTGGGAAGTTAATGAGGTTGATTATGATGGTAATGCTACTATCTTGGAAGAGGACCGGGATCTCGATGTTGCTATTTTTCTTACGGCGATGGATCGAGCTGAGATGGAGACTGCCACTAGGGATCAATGGGGGTGGAGACTCGAGGAGGATAATGAGTGAAGGGAGAGACTCACATCTGCTATGAATACGGACTCTACGGATCTGATAAGGAGGCGAGGTTGTGAGATCTCACGGGTAATGAGGGTATCTTGCGGCTGTTTTCCAGGAAAAGGCTTCATATAGATCGAAGGCTAGTGGCCATCTAAAATGGTAGGATACAGGAGGTATAGTGCAAAGAGAAACCAATTTTGCTCATCAACTAAGCCAGGTAATACGCCAGGCTATTAGTAATCGTAGAAGCCCTTACCGGACTTCTTTCCAAGCCAGCCAGCATCAACCATGCGGCGGAGAAGACCAGAGGGTCTGTACTTGCTGTCGCCGGTTTCCTGGTGCAGGACATTCATGATTGCAAGGCAGGTATCGAGACCGATGAAATCCGCGAGGACCAGGGGGCCCATGGGGACATTAGTACCAGTCTTCATGATGTTGTCAATATCCTCACGGCCACCAACGCCAGTCTCGAGGCAGATGACTGCCTCGTTAATGTAGGGCATCAGGATACGGTTGGCGAGGAAGCCGGGCGAGTCGGCGGAGACGGAGGCTACCTTGCCCATGCGCTGAACAAACGCAATTGCAGTATCCATGGTCTCCTGAGAAGTCTGCAGACCACGGATGATCTCGACACCCTTCTGGATAGGAACGGGGTTCATGAAGTGGGTCGAGATCACTCGTGATGGGGCTTGCAGGTCCGTCGGGTCTGCGGTAGTAGCGGCTGCAATCTTGGTGATGGAGATGGAGGACGTATTGGTGGCCAGAATGGCATGCTTGGGCGCAATTTGGGCGAGGTTGGCGAAGATCTTCTGCTTGAGGTCGACGATTTCAGGAACGGCTTCGATCACAAAGTCGACTGAGGAAAGGTCATCCATCTTGATGCTGGCCGTAAGAAGGCCGCGGGCCGCATCGGCGGCTTCTCGGGTAATACGTTGCTTCGAGACATCCTTCTCGAGGAGCTTATCTGTGACATGAAAAAGACCGTGTTAACTGCTAGATTCCTCGCAGTTGCAAATACTGGAATAGTAGACCCATTCAGTCTTCATGGTGGTGGGGTTGAATTTACCGGCGAACTTGAGACCCTTGTCCAATGATGCTTGTGAAGTGTCAATCAGAGTCACAGGGACTTGAGCCCTCTGCGCGGCGACTAGAGCAATTCCAAGGCCCTATATTTCGTTAGATTCCCCTCAATTTCTGTCCAGGGCCAGAGACATGCGACGAACCATTTGACCGGCACCAATGACACCGAGAGACTTAACCTCGGCAGCGCTGGCCACGCTTGTAGAGCTGAAGCCGCGGGCCACAGTTGGGCCATTGCGACAGACCGAGCGAAGAGAAGAGGCGAACATGGCTGTGAATGAGCTAGAAGGTGATCAAGAGTCAAAGATGAGAGAACGAGGAGCGAAGCGTCTATAGATATTCACGTGTTTGTCCCGACGTCATCGGCTATCCTCGGCTGCGGCGGTGAGTTCGTTTCTCCGAATCGCCGAGGCGGTACGAGGCGGCCGAGACGCGGAACGCGCCAGACGCGTCGCCCGTTCGAGTTACATTTGTATTTGTGAAAGTTGATTGCGATATACAGCAGCCACTATCCCCACCATGGAGCAGGAGGTTGTTGCTCTGGGTCATGATGTCCAGGTCATAGACCCGGACGTGCGTGGCTACGTTTACAGCCTGGTCACTGCTGTGAGTGCCTCCCCAGATCGCCGCAGGAGGAGAGTTGAAGATTGGCTGACACCCCTCATTTTAGCTCGGAGGCTTCAATGGCGAAGACGCAGATAAATATGTACTGGGAGATGATGCCCTGGCGTGCCTCCGCGACATCAAGCGATGGCTCAAACTATACGACGAGAAGAACAATCGAATGGACGTGGCTAGGTGCTTGGGAGAGGCGAACGTGGTGAACGGCGATCTACTTCCAATTCTCTCGATCTGGTGGAACAGTGGACAGAAGAGCAAGCATATGACGAGAATCGCACTGGCGTGTTGTATGTCAAGCCCCTGCCCGATCTTGATCTGTTTCATGGCAATCCTGGACGAGCTAACATGAACCCAGTGGAACTGCTTGTGCCTTTAACATGGCCAATAGAATTCCACAGCCAGATGACCGTCAACCACCATCGTCACACCCCGTACCTTCAACAAACACAGGTTCAATACAAACGTGGCATCCTCAAACATGGTGGATCGAATCTCCTCCGTGCCGCCATCCGAATTGCGCTACCGAGCATGGCTATTCCCCGATCCGAGCGCGAAAGCCGAGAGGAAGGTATTCTGAAATTGATGCTTTACTTCATGCGAAATGTTGCGATCATCTCGACAAATGCGCGGCTTGCGGCTGAAGGCGAGGAGGAAGAGACTTCGAGGTCGGCTACGATCGACGCCTTCCAAGAACAAGATGCTTTCGCCCTCATCTTGACCATGTGTTCGAATGTTGGAGAAGACTTCAACATGCAGGATGTGGTACTTCTGGAGATACTGTTTCATCTCGTCAAGGGTGTCAACGTCGACAAATTGTTCATGGAAGAAGACCAAAGGAAGGCCAAGCGAACGGATGAGCTGGGCGACTTACTGCAAAAGGAATCCCTCGTTCGAAGAGAATACGCCAAAAACGCCCCTACTCGACATGGTCGATTCGGAACAATGATCTGGGTGAAGCGCGACGATGCGGGCAAGGTTTCCACCGTCTCTGGGCAAGATGTGTTGCGCGATGACCAAACCACTCTTCACAAAATGGACCAAAGCAAGAAGTGGAATAAGCCCCAAACCCGTCGCAGGAAAGAAGATGTTGTCCAGAATAACAACTTCAATATGCCTGCTCACCTTTCTGCATCGGCCTCGAAGAATCTCAGGACATTCGTCGAAGAGTTCCTGGATTCCGGCTTTAACCCTCTTTTCACCCATGTGAGGAAAGCCATTGAGCGTGAAGCTGAACGAGTTCTGGACATCAATTCCCGTCAATTTTTCTACACCGTTGCCTGGTTCCTCGAGGCAGAATGTGCACGACGGGCGTCTCAAGTCAAGAAACGCGCCCAGCAAGGGAAGTCGGCCAAAGACACAGAACCAGACAGCTATGGATTGGTAGCTGGAGTATTGAACCAGGAGACCTTCATCACTCTCAACCGGGCTATGCAGAGTAGCTTCGACAACAAGGAGTGGGACGATTTGAATGCCCAAATGCGATGCTTTACCCAGATTCTTTTAACAGTCCAAGAGATGGCCGTCTCGCCGATTGAAGAGGACCAAGAAATTGCTGAAAACATCCAAAACCGAATCTTCTACGAAGAAACGACCCATGACAGAATTCTGGCTATTGTCCGCGGATACAAAGATCAAGGATTTGGCTATCTGGATGCCGCCACTGAACTTTCCCATGTCTTCCTGCGAATGCTTGAGCGATACTCCAAGGATAACGCCGATATGCAGATTCGATCTAAGCGCAAAGCCAAGCGTAAGAAGAAGGCCGAACAACTAAATGGGCAGGAAGGAGCGGAAGATGATGAAGAGCAGAACTCGGAGGATGAGGAGATGGAGGACGCTGCTCAGATCTCGAAAGAACGGGCTTTCGATTTTAAACGATTTGCAGCCAAATTTTGCACCCAAAACTGCGTTGACACATTCGTCACCTTCACCGGATTCTACAAAGAGCTGAATCAGGAGCAATTGAAACGCGCCCACCGTTATTTCTATCGCATTGCATTCAAACAAGAGATGACTGTCTTGTTATTCAGGTTGGACATAATCAACCTTTTTAATCGGATGATCAAGGGGCCTGGTGCGATGGATAGCAGCAGCAAATCGGTTTTCAAGGAGTGGGAGGAATTGGTTCGACAAATCCTCCGCCGCCTGGTCAAGAAGATTGATCAGCGCCCTGCTCTGATCACCGAATTACTTTTCAGCAAAATGAACTCGACTGTTTTCTACCTCGAGTATGGGCACGAAAGACAAACACTGTCTACAGCCAAGCGAGCGCCGGCAACGCTTGAGATTTCTTCAAAGGATGCGACAACATCCGAAGCGAAATTAGGAATTGTGACTGGTGCACTTGTTCTTGATGGACGGACAGACCTTGTAAAATGGGTTGTTGATGTTTTGAACTCGGCGGCCTCTGAAAGAGAGGACTGGGAGGCTCAAGATGCGGCTCGTCACGCAGAGGACCCTGAAACTGGCGGTGCACCTAATCCACTGATCCGTATGTCTATGGTTGCCCAAATTAACGAATGATTATCAAAGCTAACCTTACCATAGCCGTCAAACCGCGAGATGAGTTTTGTTCAAACGCCATGTTTTCCAACGCAAAGCTTCGCCTTTTGCTGAATGAGCTCGGGCTAGAAAAGCTTGGTGTGGAAGATGTACCAGGTGCTTCCTGGGTTGTTCCAGCAAAAATGGGCTCGGCCGAGCTTCGTGAGGCTGTCTCCACGCTCAACAAGTCCATCTTGAACCCAATTCCCGAGGGAAGTACTGAGGATCCTCGAGAGCAGCTTCGCCGGAAGAACACGGGCTCTGCACGCGATACCCTTGAGCAAGGAACACTCGACATTAACTTCGGAGACGACTCTGAAGGCGAAGATGTGGTTCCAGATGGAATTCTATTCCCTCCAAACCCGCGGTCCAAGTCTAATGCACTAGACGAATTGAAGAAGAAACGCAAGAAGAGCAAGAAGAAGGACAATTCTGAAAAGGAGCCTCTTGACGATGAGGTTCTGGAGGCGCGTCGCGACGCCCGTCTTTCCAACGCATTGGCTCGCCAGGCCAAAATCAAAAGTGACCTCTTCATTCATGCTAGTGATGAGGAGAGCGACGCCGACGGCGACGCAGAGTTCTTCCGTCTCGAGGAAGAGCGACGGAAGAAACAAGCCGAGAATGTCAAGAAAGCCTTACTGACTGGCCGATTAGAGGAGGCCGGCTCAAAGGGCAAGAAAGCCAGTGCACGCAAGCGCAAGAGTGACACTGGGAAATCAGCCGCAACTGGCGAGCCTAAACGCCAGCGTCGCGCTTCTGAATCTGGTGGCAGTGATGTTGGCAGTGATGACGACGATATCCTCATGGCAGATCTGGAGGCCGAGTCTTCTCGCTCACAGGAGGTTTCCACTGGCAACGCCACCCGGGACACTGAGGACACTCCTCTCACATCTGCGGAAGATGAAGATGAACTCGGCTTTGATGATGATTTGGTTTTTAGTCGGGACCGAAAGTCAAAGGCCGATGCTCCCGAGACCAATGCGGATGAAGACGAGGAGGATACGCCTGTCGTGTCATCCCGCCGCATGCGTGGAGGTTTTGTTATCGAGAGTGATTCCGAGTAAAGCTCATGGATGGGATGATTTTATGATGACCTTATGAGGCGTTTGGCATTTGAAAGCGGCTAGGACAAAGATCGGGGATACCTATCTGAGTAGTTTCAAAGTTTGTATATTGATTCTTTTTGCCATAATATCTTCATTCGTAGCTGCCTTTTCAACTAGTCTGTAATTAGCATCTGCCTGTAACAGAGGCGAGGTTGTGAGTTGTGAGGAAACAAGTGCATTGCTAAGTCTGAAGAAAAAAGAGACAAAATAAAACGTGAAGCTTCCCAAGTAAACTGAGGAAGCTGCGTTAAGCCCGAAATAATCCCGAAAAGAAACAGTGTTCGATATCGACTGTTACACTGCCCAGACAACTCCTAATTTTATGTTCTTATGAAGAGCTTTCCTGCAAGGATTTGATGATATCAGAGACCGGCCATCCCGTCCGAGAACCCCAGTCCTTCACGCCGCTGATAATATCCCGGAATTTGTTCCGGTCTCGAAGCCAGCATCCACCTAAAGCCCGTAAGTCAGTACATCTACCATAAGTGCGATCTGCGGTACGGGACTTACAGAATGCAATCGGACCAAAAGAGTTGATCCAAACAGCTTGCGATTCACTAGAAAGTGCCAAGGCACAAATATCGGAGCTGCGGCTCTCCAGCTCGCGAGTCAATTCAGTAACTTGTCTTAAGTTATCCATCACTGAAATCGCTTGCTGACTTGGCTTCGCGAGTCTCAAGATGATCATTGCGGTTTGATAATATTGAATAGCCGCCGCTACATAGATATTAGTCAACTAGTAGCAGATCTCAAATCCATCGATAATGAACCACGTACCATGCCAGCCATGCAGAGTGCCCATGAACGGAAAAGCTTTTTCACCTTTCTTGACTAAGGTGCGATTCAAAATAGGCGTGAATGAATGAGGAAGGCTGTCTTTCCAAGTTTGCAGATTGCTTTCAAGGAGCAAAAGCCGCTCTGGAGGACTTGCCTCCTCGCCGAAGCATTGGTTGATGACTTGTCCAAGTAAAATGGTAACAGCATTCGCATATTCGTCATCAGTACTCGGGTTTTTGGGAACATGTTCCTCGGAAAGCTCGATCATTAGCTTGCGGCGCTCAATTAGCGCGACGGTAATGTCTTCTCTGAGATAATTCCAGAACGCAGCTCGGGCTAGACTTGACAGCGAATCTAGTCTGATTGGATTTCTGGCCAAGATGGAATAGCATCCCTGTAGGTGGCTCTGGGAGCCGAATTTTTCTGGTCATTTTTGAATGCTTGGTTAACATAATTCCCCTTGCCGTATAAGGAAAAGTGGCTCCTTACGGGAAATAATCTCAAAAGAACGCAAGAGGCATATGGCGGCCAGTAGCTCGTCATGGGGCTCGCCATTGGAGGCGACATCTTCAATATTGCCAGTGATGTCTAATAACATATGCACGCTTTCAAAATGATAGAACTCGGCCATATCAACCAGCGACTCGGAGCTAGAGTTATGCAAACTGATTGCAGAAAAGGCAAGGATTGCGCTCAAGACAAGTGGACTAGATCGCGCTTTCACAGACACTATGTCCGTGAAATGTCGCTGGCTGTCATTGAGGTCGTACCAGGAAGCTAGATGGTCTCTATAGTATCTAAATAGACGGAAGACCTGAGAGTACTGGAGAGCAATCTCTGGGGATTCTGTGGATACGAAATCGAATCTGCGTGGATTTCCTGCTGGAAAATTTCTGGAAAGATTGGGTTGGAACTGGGGTGAGGGTGTGCCTCGAGCGGCTGAACGCAATTCGCAAGCCTCCGAGCCTGTACGCCATTGAGTTTCTTGCTCGTTTAAGGGCCATTGACACTCTCGGCCTTGGCAGGGTGTACAGGTGGGTCGCACCCCATCGCCTTTTTCTTGGGATTAGATATCGGAACCGTGTAATTTTCATGTCTTACATCACTTACATCGCACCCTACGCCGCCGGCACTGGACACTTTTAAGGTGCACATATGTTAGATTTGCTCTTTTGGGGGGAGATCATTCAATCTCACCAGCCTTCCTGGCAAGTTAACTTGGATCGAGATTATCCATAAGGATAGAATGAGACAGGAAGTGGAAGCTGGAGCCCTCACGGTCTAATTTGAAGGCGCGTGGCATTTCAGCTCATTTAAACACAGGGAAGAAGTGGGTAAGTGGAGGATGGTGGATTGGATTGAAAAGCGAAAGGCGAAAGGCGAAAGGCGAAGAGAAAAGCGAAAGGCGGGGTAGAATTATGGGTCACCTTCCCAATTGGGACGGCTGTGTTACACTGTCTGGCCAGTGGATTGGAGGAGCCCCCTTAGTGTGCATTACTGCTAGCCATTGTAATGTTACACTATCAAACAGCTGAGTGCCCATACAATCAGGAGTTCTAGTGAGGAGGTATCTGGGCTGGGTATTTGTAATATGAAACCCGAATGTGGTCTCAACTGGGGTGACTCCAATGCGGTGGCCAGAGAGTGTAATGTGCAGATGAAGTATATAAAGTCTTTCCACCCCCACTGATTTCGAGGTGAGCTACTTCAAAATCTAATTTGAAAGGTGATATCTGATAATGTGGTCAGTACCAAGACTGGCCCGGCCGATTCGATCCCTTCCTCTCTCCCGGGCAATGCGATCTCTTAGCACCACCCGGAGTTACCCCAATGCTATCAAACCGTCTGCAACCGAGATACAAAACGGCCAGCTTGGTCCAGAAAACCTTGAAGTTGCGATCCGAAGTCTCTATCATGATGGGCTAGTCGTTGTCAACGATGTGGTGCCTCACGACATGCTCGATCGATTGAACGCGAAGATGATTCAAGATGCGCACACCCTTTTTGCACGCAAAGAAAACAGTCCCTTCAACTACAACCCAAACAATATTCAACAAGACGCCCCTCCAATGGGAGAATTCTTTGAGCCCCAGATTTTCATGAGTATATGATCCACGGCCCCAGGACCTGACAACCCGATCGATCCAAGCATACTGACACGAAGAAGATTCAATCGCAACCCAAATCACATCAACCGCCTTGGGTCCCCGACCAAAGTGGACATTCTGCTCCGGAAACACGGCCATGCCTCCTACTCCGGAATGCCCACCCGCTTCACAACCTGTGCACTCCGATGCGGACTTCCAACACCCTGATCACCCATTCGCTCTCGTAATCAATGTCCCGCTAATCACCATGACACCCGAGAACGGCTCCACGGAAATATGGCTTGGAACGCACCGCGATACAGGTCTCCACGTCCAAGAAGGTATCCATGGCGAGCGCGCAAGTGGACGTATCAAGGAAGAGGAGTTGGAAAAGCAACGTGCTATCCGACCACCCTGTCAGCCCGTGGTTCCGAAAGGCTCGATCGTTCTCCGAGATTTGCGACTGTGGCACGCCGGTATTGGAAATCGGACAGACGCCGTGCGAGTGATGCTGGCAATGAGTATGTCAAGAACAGTTTTGTCTGTGGTAGTTTTTCAATTTGTGTCGACTAACGAGCATTTGCAGTTCATTTCGCACCGTGGTATCGGAATCCAATGAAGTTGCAATTCTGCAACGACTTGAAGTCACTGGTGGAAGACCAAAAGGAACTCGAAGTTCCAGTGGAATGGGAATCTAAGGAGAATGTCACCCAGCAGTATCTGAATAGGGCCTTTGGAAACGCATATGACTTTAGTCAAGGTCGCCAATAGTGCGGGTGAGAACATCCACGAGGTTGGTCTATCAAGAAGTGTGCGTCTTTCCAGAGACCCTCAAGGATGGACGAAGTGACTAAGTGAAGAGGTAAATTATGAAATGAGAGACGTGACTCCGTGAGCCTCATGAATCGCAAAATCGTCCACCAAAGGAGAGTGATGGCATAGTTTTATTTCTCAGAATTCACTGTCCTGGCACGTAGACCCTTATGGTCTAGGGGAGCAATTGGTTCCTCTAGGAAAGTCCATATGCGGGATAGGAGAAGCTGAATTGCGGGCTTATCTTTTTGCCTTTTTCCAAAATTTCAGGCCTAGGGTTAGATTCCTCTGCCAATGGCCAACTTCATTTTCATTTATTTTCTTTCTTCCTTTTCCTGTGACAAACGCTTTTGTTTACGTTGTTGACGACGTTTGCATGCGGGTGGGGCCCGCCAGCCATGTGATGTGATAGGCATGTTATAGAATGGCATTAAACCAATAGCATCCACTGGCAAATAATCAATACGAAGCTTAATAATAGCTGTCAATTTATTCCAGATAATCCTGGGAATACTCATTTGTATGCTTGCATTCTCAGATTAACCCCGATCCATAGGATTGGATGACCCCGAATACGAATGCCGATCTGGCCCGTGCACTTCTCTGCAGTACAAAGAGTCATCAACCCCTCTTCACGCAGCCCCAGAATTCTAAATTCTAAATTCTGAAACTTGAAAAAATGGCAATGACAGGGGAAAAGACTCTGGCGGCATCATGCCACTGTCGAAATGTCCAGTACACCGTCAGCATTCCCGTGGAGATTCTCCCCTTGGAAGTACACATGTGCCACTGTAGCGTTTGCCGATACACATACGGCGCACCGTGCTGTTTCCATGCCGATTTACCTCCAGGAATTGAGCCTGAATTCACCGCGCCATCGAGCTTGGAAAAAATGACCGCCTACGCCCTGCCGAGATCAAAGACAAAGACATACTTCTGCAGTACCTGCGGCTGCTGCATCGGAGGATGCAACGACACATGGACAATATCCACCTCGATTTTCGACGCTAACAGAGACGATGAGGGAATCTGGTTGTATAACTCGCATATGCTCCCTGACTCTGCACCGGACGGGGGTCTAGCAGCAGTATTCTCGGAAATTGACGGACTCCCACTACAGATCGACGATCTGGGTGGACGGGCCTTGCCGGACGTCAGTCTTCCCAAGGAACTCCAAAGCAACCAAAGCGAGCTCCGCGCGGAGTGTCATTGTGGCGGTGTTTCATTTACCATCGCCCGACCCAGCGAGGAGTTCATCGCCAGTTCAGAGAGCAAAGGCTGGCTTTCTGATGTTGATAAGAGCAAATGGCTAGCTTGCATGGATGTTTGTGATGACTGTCGCTTGGTTACTGGAACGAACGTCATTGCGTGGATGTTTGTTGCACGCGATCATATCACGCCTCGACTGCCAAAGGATCTATGCATCGGGACTGCGAAGAGCTATCGGTCAACTGAGGGTGTGAACCGTGTTTTCTGCGGCGATTGTGGTGCAACAGTCTTTTATCATTGCGATGAAAGACCGAATATTGTTGATGTATCCATGGGCATTTTGCGTGCGCCTGAAGGGGCGATGGCTGAGAATTGGAGCGTGTGGAGGGCTGGACGCCCTTCTTGGCCGGAAAATGGATTGCGATATCATGCGGGATTTAGTCACGCGTTGATCGAGGGGATGAAGAGGTGGGGAGCTGAGCGTGGGCACCCGCAGGAGTTTCAAATTCCATGAAAAGTGACTTGACTATATAGTACCGAAGAGATGGTTGAAAGCATTACGAAAGGCTAGTTGGCTCCGGAATTGATAAGCAGAATTTTTTGATATTAGGTATGGTATGCTTCCGAGTATACTCGCCATTCGTCCTATGACTTGTTTGGAGGTAATGATACACTGCAATCGTGAAATGAACTGCCAATATATTTCGGGTGCCAAAGTAGATTGTGATAAATCAAAGAGTAAACGGCTGAAGAATAAATTCAATTATTAATACTAGTAGCCATCGAGGTCGGTAGTAGAATAAAGCTCCGTAAAACGCGCGAATAGCTCCCGAAATTTTATTTAGCCTGTTTTAGCAAATTATTACGACTCTTGCAAGACTTACGCTCTTCTTGAACCCACAAGGATCACCAAAATGATTATAAATCACACGGTATTAACGGGTGTCGCCAATTTTAAAAATGCAGTCACGGTGCGCCTTGCCGATGACAAGCGGGCGGTTCGGCAGATAATGACCCACCGGCCGCAATGAGTCAAGGGCGGGGACTCCATTTATAAAAGTCGACATATGTAGCTGAAGACCTTGAATATCAAACCCAAACAATTAACCATGACTCAACTTCGCTTCGTTACTCTCGACGTCTTCACACTAAAGGCGTACGGCGGCAACCCGCTTGCCGTCGTCTTCCTACCAGAAGATGAATCGACCGCATTGACCCAAAGCCAGAAGCACATCATCACGAAAGAATTCAACCTTTCCGAAACCATCTTCGTGCACCCAGCCCGTGACTCAAGCAAGCGAACCATCGACATATTCACCATCGAGTGCGAGATCCCGTTCGCCGGCCACCCCACCATCGGCGCGGCCTCGTGGTTCCTATGCCTCGCCCCGGAAGTGGCGGCTGGCAGCAATGTCACTTCTCTGGTGACGAAGTCCGGCGAAATCCCCATCTCCATCACCGACGCTGCGACACAGGCTGTTTCCGCGCGCATCGCGCATAATACGCGCATTCATGCCTCAAG